ACCCCCCCCCCCCTACACATACACACCTCATCATGAGCGGACGGAAGCCGAGCTTGGACAAGGCACTGGAGGTGCGGCAGCAGTACCTCGACTACCACGCGCCGTCTCTGGCGTATGCCTGCCTGGGCCTTGCCGGGAGCGGGATAGGGATCATTGCCTGGCCACTGGCGGCAGAAGCACCGTTTGCTTCCATCACGGCAGCCACGGGATTGCCAGCGGTGGTCTTCTCGCGGCTTGTCATGGCTCTGGGCTTTGTTCTTGTTCTGGCCGCCATTCCCTACGCTGCCCGCTTCTTCAGCAAGCCGCTGGCCCTGCCCAACTTGACTCCGTCGCAGCGGCGGCTGGCTGGCTTGCCAGCCGACACCTCGACTGAGGTCCTCCATGCTGCGCATGAGCATCCGCTGGTCATCTCGGACCCTGGCGTCTTGTTTGATGGAAAGCTCTCGTGGAGCTGCTCTTACTGCCGGACGCGCTACACCTCGGAGGCCTGGCTCTACCGCTGCGTCGATGACTGCGACTGGGTCATGTGCGAGCACTGCGCCTCATCAGATCTCCGCTCGGGCCTCTCCATGGGCCGCGATCACCGCCCGATCCAGATCGAGAGTCTGATGGCCAGCAACGGGCCTGTGGCTGGGTCCCCGTACGGCTCGCCGTACGCGACCCCGTTTGCGTCCCCGTACGCCTCGCCGCACGGGTCGCCGCACGGGTACATGTCGCCGGTCTCGCCCTCGCACACTGGCGGCTCTATGGCGGCGCCCCAGGCCTCACTCCTCTCGCCGGCCCAGGGTCGCCCGCTTTGGGGCTCGCCGGCTCACTACGGGACGCCGACCGAGTCGCGCGTCATATCGTCACCGCGCGAGCTCGACGCGTTTCTGAACCAGGCTGAAGCGAGTCGGATGTACGGTGGCGGCGTGTACGGAGTGGGCGACGGCAGCATGCGTGATGGTGGGAGTGTCGGGCTGGTGGCGCCGATGAACATTAGCATGGGCGCGGCCGGCGACACATCGTTCTCGTTCAAGTACAAGAACGCGGTCCGGGCAAGCTCATACGTCGGGTACGGGTCGCCGGGCGCGCTCCGCGGGACAGCCGCAGCGTCCAAAGGTGCGAGCAAGGCTGCTGCATCGCCGTTTGGCAACGAGAACCGCGAGGCATCCAAGTTTGTGCTCCGCAAGGTGCTGCGCATCGAGCCGTACATGGAGGAGTGGACGGAGAACGTGCGCAAGTGGCTAGTGGCTGCGGTCCTCCGGCGAGTCTCTGCCGCCATTGATAAGTCGTGGCACCTGCGCGGGACGCTCAAGCCCGAGGGGGCGGCGGCGCAGTCTGGGGCAACAGCCTCATCGTCGGCGCTGTATGGCGCCAAGAAGACCGGAGGCTTCTCGTTTGGCGGCAGCAAATTGGGAGCCAAAAAGCCTGGCGGGTTTGCGTTCGGCAAGTCTGGCGGCGGGTTCAAGACGAATAAGCCGGCCGAGCTGAGCGAAGCCGACAAGGCGGCGCGGGCCGAGTCGCGGTTGCGGCGGCAAATCCAGAAGATCAAGACGTACCTCAACGTACTGGGCTCGTCGTCGGAGGACTACGTCATCCACCGCCTCCGGCAGCTGGTGTCGGGCTCGGTGCTTGCGGCGTTCTCGTGGTCGTCGGGCGGCGAGTGGAAGGGCCGCCCGTGGACGCCGGAGCTTCCAACCGACTCCCAGATTGTGATGCACATGTTTGTGACGTTTATGGACCAAAACATGCCGGCCTTTGACGAGACCTCACAGACGCCGTTTACCTCGCGCCACTTTGTGCCGGTCTCGGGTGAGACCGACACCACCAAGTCGTCGGACGTCAAGATTGTGCAGTGCTCGGTCCATCCGCCGCACTTTCGGGTTGTTACCAAGGTTGGAACGTGGGAGGTGCTGCACGGGCGCAATAACCTGTTCCACAATCTCATTCTCTTCGCGTACTACGTCAAGATGCACAAGAACGGATTCCTCCACCAGGTTGATCTCTCTGGCGACGCCATCGGCCTGCTCAAGGTCATTGACATGTACATGTGAGGCGGCGTGCTGCTCCTCGGCAATGCTGCCGCGTGCTTATGAGTTAATCTTCCGCGCCGCGGCAACGCTACGACGAGGACGACGACGAGTACGACGACGAGTCGCGGAAGCCCGGCGCAAAGCCCGGCGATGATGAGCTCGACGAGCTGCGGCCACGCGATGCAGCGAGGCCAGTAAACTCGGATGAAGCCGAGTCGGATGACGAGCCCGAGACGGCGCCGACTGACTGCTCGTCGATGAAGCCGTCGGAATCCTCGGAAATGTCCGGCCTCGGTCTGCTTGCCTTGCCCTTGCCTCTGGACTTGCCACCTCTCGACTTGCCGCCTCTAGACTTTCCGCCTCTGGACTTGCTGGCCTTGCTGGCTGCGGCGTCGAGCTTGTCCTGAGCATGAAAATCAAAGACTGCGCCTGGAAAGACAATGACAAGAACGGTGATGTTGTCGCCGGAGCGACGGTTGAGAGCCTTGATGACGAGCTTGCGCGCGATCTGGCGGGCCGACTCGCCGGCTGCCAGCAGCTCAAGCACGTAGTTGACGGCGGTCTGGTTGTCGACGACGTCCCAGAGACCATCCGAGGCGACAATCACAAATTGGGTCTCGGGCGTGACGTCCGAGTACGAGACAAACGGCTGGGCGTTGAGGATGCGCTTGCGAGGGTTGCCTGCCGCTTTGAACGTCTTGTCTCCTATGCTCCGTGTGACGGCAATGAGCGAGTTCCCCTCGCGGGCACGGACGTACTTGCCGCGGATGCGGGCACCGAGCGCGCGCAGCCGCTTGGCCTCTTCGGGCAGGTCGACGTTGTGATCGACAGTCAACGGTTGGGCGACGCCTGCGATGGAGAGGACGGCGCGCGAGTCGCCGAGGTTCGCGGCGACGATCTGGGTGTGTGTGATGGCCACCATGGTTGCCGTTGAACCGTCCTTCATGTCGCGCGTGACAGCCATGGAGAGATAGGCGTCATCAGCCTCGAGAAAGGCTTTTGTCAGCTCCTCGGGCAGCAGATGCGGCGCATGCTTAGCCACTATGCCCGGGAAATGCTGCATGCACCACGCCGCCGCCGCCTCGCCCGAATGGCCGTCAAAGACACAAAACAGAGCGGTGTCAGGCATGGCCGCACACAGTGGTGCCGAGACAGAGAATCGGTCTTCATTGTATGCACGTTTAGACTGAAAGGAGGGAGAGGGAGAGGGAGAGGGAGCGGGTGGGGTGGGGGGGGGGGGGGTGGAGGGTGGCGGTGAGGAGGCTGATCAGCAACAGAGGTGATCGATCAGGGGCTGATCAAGGCAACGGCAATGGCAGGGACAGGGGGGGGAAGAGGGGCGAGGGGGGGGGGGAAGGGAGAGAGCGGGAGGCGTACTTGTGAGTTACAGGCACCAATGTCCAGTTCTGGCAAGGCAGACTCTCCAGCAGAGCATGCAGCACCCATGGTATGGGTGGTGTGTGTGCGTGTGTGTGGTGGGGGGGGGAGGGGGGGGGAGGGAGGGGAGGGGTGTGGGGGGTTGGGCTGGTGGCAGCGGGTGGCGGTGGTGGCTGGCCGGGGCCGATGGCCGCTGCCACTCGCCGCGGGCGCACCCTCCGCCACTGGCAGTCGTAGGTCGTCGGCCCGCCCTGTCTGTGACACCAGCCACACCAGCCACACCTGGCACGCCTGGCACTCCTGCCCGACACCTGACACACCACACACACCTTGCGCACCCACTCACCAATACATATACGTCATGGCTGATGATACACCGCACAAGGTGGTCCATGTCACTGGATTTGGCCCCTTTCCAGGCGTGCCCGTCAACCCCACCACGAGCCTGGCGGCTTCCCTCGCGAGCCATCCTGATGTGGCCAGCAGCTCGGTGGTGAGGACTGCCATTGGCGGTGCATCCGATGCCATTGCTGCGCTGGCAGCGGCGCATGCGCTGGTTCCTGGATCGGACGCTGCAGGAGACTCTGCGGGCGAGGCCGAGGCTGCGGGGGCGATCGAGACCGGGACCGAGGTCGCACGGCGGACCACACTGCTGCTTCATCTCGGCGTGGCGGCGTCGGCGACAGGAGTCCGGTTGGAGCAACGGGCATACAACGAGGCAAGCTTCCGGGTTCCTGATCAAGATGGGGCGCAGCTGAGCGACGAGCCTATCGACGAGGTGATGCCGACCGAGTCCTGGCTGGAGACACTTCTGCCGCTCGAGCGCATTGCCGCACTCATGAGCGACGCACACCCTGACGTCCCGATCGAGGTCTCAACAGATGCTGGGCGATATTTGTGTAACTACCTGTACTACAAATCGCTCCGCCTCGCGCACGGCTCGTCAAACTTGCACTCGCTCTTTGTCCACATCCCCCCGCTCTCAGTCATCGCGTTTGAGGCCCAAGCCGAGTTTCTCGCTGCCCTTGTCGACGCCCTTGTTGATGCCATGCCATGAGCCCAAGCCCCACTCTCACCCCCCATTTCCCTCCATTCCCCCCATCCCTACCACCATCTGAACATTTCTATCCATATCCTCCTTCCCTCCGTGCCGCTGCTCTCTTTGATCGCCCCCGCGTGGGACGCGCATATGCGATGCGACACGCGGCCTTCTCTCTCTCTCCTTCCCTCCTTCCCCTCCCTTCTCCCCCTCCCCCCGTCCACACCTCACTCTACATGGCCGACCTCCTCTCTTGGGTCCTTTCATGGGTCCCCGGCCTCGGCCCAGACCCGTTCTCGGCCTCTGCCATGTACGCTGCCCCCCCCCCCCTCCCTACCCCCCTCGCACTCCCCTTCACTTCCTCACGGCAGACACTCACCTCATGGCGGACAGGCGGACAGCGCTGCGGGCAACCAGTGTACGGGCAGAGCTGCTTCAGAGGCAGACAGACAATCGGGTGGCTGCACTGGAGGCTGATGTGGCTGATTTGTTTCGCAAAGGCAAGTGCAGGCATGCTCGGCTGCGTGTGGAGGCGATCTTGGCCGAGCTCGAGACCTTGCATGTGCTGGAGATTGTGCATCCGCTTGCCGAGCTCTGTCTGGCGAGGCTGCACTTGCTCGAGGTGCCTGCAGTGGAGGATGAGCCTTTGTTGACTGCAGTTCGATCGTTGGTCTTTGCCGCCCCGCGCGTATCGCAGCTGAAGGAGTTGGTGGCTGTGGCGGATCAGGCGTCGCGCCGGTTCGAGCCGGAGGTACTCGCGGTGCCTGCGTCAGGCGAGGGCGTTCATGCCAGGCTCTATGCGCTGCTCACGCGCAGCGCATCGACGCCGCCTGTCGCGGCTGTCGACGCTCGTGTGGCACGCATCGCCAAGATCCACAGCCTGCCGGACGACGTGATCGGCAGCAGCGAGAGTGGGGCCGGGCCGTCGGCCGGCCGCGAACGGCGCATTCAGCCGCTGCTCGACGTAATTGCTGGCCGCATCGCGCGCCTTGAGGGTGGCGGCGTGCAAGAATCAAGCTCCGCACAAGTCCTTGAGCTCCAGCTGCAGCAAGAAGCACTGTCCCGAGCGCTGAGCCACCCTCAGCCTGGCCCGTGCAGTTGCGGCGCTGCTAACGACGCATGCTTTGTGCCGTGCGGCCACGGCGGAGTGTGCAAGGCGTGCCTTCCGGCCCGGGCAACGGGCCCGGACTCGAGTTGTGGCGAGTGTGGGTCGCCGATCATGTACATGATCGGGCTGGAGTGAATGTGTTTGCAAAAGAAAGGAGAGTTACTGACAAAGACGGAAACAAGCTGCGTGGAGCTAGACCTTGATGGCGCGCAGGTTGGTGAGGATGTCCTTAAAGTCGGGACGAGCGGCAGGGTCAGCGTCCCAGCACGCAACGATGAGGGTCTCGAACGGCTTAGGCACATATCCCGGGATGACCGGCCGCAGGCCCTCGAGCAGGACCTTCATGCCGACCTGCATGGGGTTCATGCCTTCATACGGGATCTGGCGGGTGGCCATCTCCCACAAGACAATGGCAAACGAGTAGATGTCTGCCTTGTAGTCGTACGGCTCGTTGCGGAGGACCTCGGGCGCCATCCACTGCGGTGTGCCGCACTGGGTCATGGTGCCGGATGCCTCCTTGGCGGTGGTGAGGCCAAAGTCGGTGATCTTGACAGTCCAGTTGGTGTCAACCAGCAGGTTGAGTGACTTGAGGTCGCGATGGATGATCGGCGGCTTGTTGCCGTGAAGGTAGGCCATGCCCTTGGCGGCGTCGGTTGCCATCCGCACCAGCAGCGCCCAGTCCATGTCGCACGATGGGTCGTGGAGGACCGAGTAGAGTGAGCCGCGGTCGAGGTACTCGGTGAGGAGGCACATCGACGACGCCTCGAGGCACGCACCCATAAACAGCGTCACATTCGGGTGCCGGAGCTTGGACATGATCTCGACCTCACCTTGGAACTCCTCCAGCGCCTGCGGCGAGAGCTTCTGCTCCAGCAGCTTTTTGATGGCCACCTCGGTCCCACGCCACACGCCGTACCACACCTCACCGAACGCACCGCGGCCGAGGAACCGCCCAAACTCTACGTCCGCCATTTCGATCTCCCAGTCGTGCTTGACCGGCGCGGCGGGCGCGCCCGACGACGATGACGTCGTCGACGTCAGCCCCAGCACCGACAGGTCCACGTTTGAGTCGCCCAGCAGGTCGTCCAGCATCGCTGACGCCGCGTCGGCCGCGTCAGCGTCGGCGTCTCCGCCACCCATATCCGACGGCGGCGGCGCCGGTGACACAGGCGTGCCCGGCGAGATCCCCATGGGAGAGCCCATGCCCGACATGCCCGCAGGCGAGCCCATGCCCGGCGAGACCGACGACGGCGTCGCCGACGTGCCAGCAGACGCGCCCATCGACGACAGTGTGCCCACCATCGCCGGCGATGCAAGATCGAGCGGGGACTTGGCGTCCATGTTAAGAATTGTCGGCCCGGCACCCCGCGAGACCAGGTACTCGGCCACCTGCTGGTGCCGCCAGAAGCATGCGTAGTGCAGCGGCGTGTTGCCATGCCGGTTTTTGGCGTTCACGTCGGCTCCCGCACTCTCGCACAACATCCGCGCAATGAGAAAGTGGCCCTGTCCACCCACCGTCAGACAACAAACAAACCAAGAGAGCCGCACCATCCATGAGTTCCTTACCTCTTTCTCACCACCGTCCGCTCGCCCCCCCCCCCCCCTCCCCTCCCTCCTGCCTTCCCTCCCCCCCCCCCCCCCTCCGCCACTCTCCCTGTGTTCCGAAAACACAACATTGGCCGAAAAAGGGGCTTGAACAACCACACCCGGTGGAGAAAAGCCACCTCTACCTCTGCCTACCGTCCCCACCGCCCCCCCTCTCCCTCCCACTCCCCCCCAGCCTCCTTCCCCTACCTCCTCCCCCCCCTCCTCTCCCTTTCCACCTAAGAAAATGCGTACCTCAGAGGCTGCGTAGTGCAGGGCGGTGTCCGAGGCGCAGTTGCGCTCGTTGGCGTTTGCCCGAAGCTGCACCAGGCGGGTGACGACCTCCTGGTGGCCCTTGCGGGCGGCCCAGTGAAGCGGGGTAAAGCCGTGCTCGTCCTTCTCGTCCACTGGACGGCCCATCTGGAGCCAGTAGTTGACTCGGGCGACGTTGCCCTGCGCTGCTGCCGAGTGGATGTTCATGTGGGCGCGACAAGTATTGCTACACGCCACACGCCCGCCGTAGCTGTTGCAATTGCCGGCCCGGCAAGCGACCAAGGACCGAGACGATTGATTGTGAGAGGTTTGATGTTGTTGATGAAAAGAAATGAAGGGAAACATGCGTGTACGCGCGTGTGCGCAAAGAGAGAGAGAGAAATATCTACAGCGCCGTGAGCTCGATGCCGCCGTCGGCGTCGGTGCCGTGGGCCGCCTGGGACAGCGGCGACGGGTTGACGAGGGTCTCGGGCGTGCCGGGCGGGCCGTTATCGTCAGACGAGGACGAGGACGACGAGCTTGCGGCGGCGCCCTGGACCACTGAGCGAGCGCCAGACATGGCCGAGATGACGCGGGTACGGGCCTGGTCAAAGAGCGAGGCGTCCTCGGGAGAGAGGGAGCCGCCCGGGGAGCAGCGTGAGACGATCGACTCAATGGTGGCGACGAGGTTACCAGCGGTCTGCTGACGGAGCGAGACGATGTCGGCGGGTGTGCCTTCCTTAGACTCAAGGAGGTCGTTGACAACCTTGAGCAGGTTGCGCTTGGTGTGGAGGAAGAGCTTGAGCTGGGCTGCCTCAAAGTGCTTCTTGGGGATCTCGACGGGCGGCGGTGCGACAAAGACGTCCATCTTGCACAGCCGCTCAAAGAGGGCGTTGACTTCGTTCTTGTTGGAGAAGATAAAGTCGTTGAGCTGCTGCATATGCTGCTCCTTGCCGCCAAACTCCTTGTTGTTGGACAGGTTCTGGAGGACCTTGCCAACCATGATGAGCGCGCGGCGCTCGTCGGGCAGCGGGGCCTCAGAGACGAGGACGTACGACTCGGGGGCGGTAATGGCCGGGACGAGGAAGCGGAGGAAGAAGAAGCCTCCGACGGCGATCGAGTTCTGCGAGTTGGTGTGCTCTTCGAGCAGCCGGCGCGCCGCCGGCGACGTCGGGTCGAGCGCACCCTCGAGCGACTCGCACGCCGTCATCATCTTCTTGAGCTGGACGGAGAGCGTCTGCACCGTTGACGCAAACGTCTGCACGAGGCTCTGCACGGGTGCAATGACGTGCTTGAGCTGCTCGAGATCATCCGTCACGTGCTCGTCCATAAACTCAAGGTTCTGGAACGAGTCGACACCCTCCTCGTACGCCTCACGCGTCGAGTGCAGGCCGTTAAGCATCTGCGACGAGACCACTGCCGCAAGGTTCTCCATCTTGATGGGGAACTCCTCGCGGATGCACTCGCGAACAACAGCAAAGATCTGTCGGAATTGGACGGGGATGTTCTTCTCCGACCGCACAATGGCGTTAAAGATCTTCTGGCACGAGGTGAGGAGCGTGAACTTGGACCGGTTGGCGTCCGTTGCACCAGCCGCCGACCGGAACGACCCGATGTTCTCGCCCTCCTGCACCATAATGCGATTGATGAGCACCGCAAGCGTTGCGTGCAGGTATGGGAGACCCACCATCTTGGAGTAAGCCTTGAACATCTTGGTCGCAAACGAGTTGGTCCGGAACATGGTCGACTGCGAAATCGCAGCCTTGATCTCCTTCCGCACAAAGGCCGAGAGCACCGCCACCGTATGGTTGTCGCGCTCAAAGACGTAGATCATAGCCTTGGAAATGTCATCGGCCTCGGTCGCCTGCGTCACGTCGCACACAGCAAAGATGGCTTGCCTGTTCTCCTCCTTCAGAATGTCCATAAAGGGCCCAATGTGAGCCAGGAACGTCCGCGCGTCCTGCGGGTTCGAGAGGCCCTTGCCAAAGATCGTCTCGCGCAGCAGCGCAGGTGTCAGCTTGGGCACTTCCACCCCGTCGTTGCCGCGCCGTGTCACAAGCAGGATGACAACCGCAATGACAATCGCGAGAATGCACAGAATGAGGACACCGCCGCCAATGGCTAGCGGCGACGTTACAAACGACGGAGACGGCGACGGCGCCGCGTCTGCACCCACAACCGTGTACACGGCAGATCCCGTCGTGTACGGCAGGCCCGTGTCGCGATACGACAGTGAGAACTGGAAGACAGAGCCGACGTCGGCCGGCGGCGAGGTGCACACCACCTCAGTCTGCGAGTTCCACGTCGACTCGTTGTACTGCGTTGTCGAGAAAACGCAGCCGTAGTTGACGCCCTCGGCAAAGTTGGTGCCGGTCACGGTGATAAGGTCCCCGCCGTCGGGCGAGCCCGACACCGGGTTGATGTTGCTGATCTCCGAGCACGCGTCTTGCGACCAGAGCGGCGACACCGTAGTCGCACCCTCGGTGCACTCAAACTGCGTCCCACAGAACGCATCACCAAAGCAGTATCCACACTCGGGCTTGCTCGACGAGAAGCACGCGTCGCATGACGACGCCGCACAGTCGTAGTACCGGAACAGCACCACAGAGCCATCTGTGTACGGCTGGCCCAGGAACTTGAGCACAACGCTGGCCCGCCCTGCCTCAGACACAGAACCTGAGATGCAGTTGATCACCTTGGGGTCCGCTGTAGACGAGGCGTTGGTCACAAAGACCGACGACGAGTCTGTAAGCGTAAACTCGCACGTGTACGCCTCGATCGGCGTCGGAAAGTCAAACTGCGACACCATTGGGATCGGGGTGCGGCCCGCAAGTGAGCCCGCGAGGTCAGTGCTAGGCTCGAGCGTCGGGCAACCAACAGTGGCGTTGAGCACCTGCTGTGTGCAGACCGGCGCCGTGTTGATGGCCCGACACGTTGAGTCGCCTTGGCACCATGTGCACTTGCCGGACTCACGGGCGTGACAACCCGAACAAGTGGTGGCAGGAAGACACGACACAACCTCCAGCTGGACCAGAATTTGCTCCGTCCACACGCTTGCGTCTGTCGAGTAGCACAGCTTGTACACGCCAGGTGTGAGGCCGAGCGAGAGCGAAGGAATGATCGTAGACGACGTAAGCGCCACTGACGACGGCGGGCTCGGCTTGCAGCTCTGCCCCATCGGAATAAACGCAGCAAGGGTCTTGGGCGTCGACACCGCGCCCACAAGCTCGATCGGCGTGGCCTCGCCCTCGCCGATGCGCGAGACCGAGAGCGCAGTCACCGTTGTGTTTGAGGTCAGCACCACCTCGAGCTCCACATCGCCCTGAACCTCGTATGTCGACCCGCCGTCTGTCGACCAGCACACAGGGTACATGCCCGGATCGGTGAAGCCCGACGCCACGCTGTACTTGGCGGGCAGGGCGGTGAGCGCCGCCGGGGCAAGCACCGTCGAGCAGTTGCCACTCGTGTCGCCGATGGCAATGTACGACGACGGTGACGGCACAGCCGAGACCGACGTCGCGTTGAGGCCAATGTCGAACGTAATCGGAACACCGACAGAGACCGTGCCTGGCGCAATCGAGAGCACGTCTTCAGACGTCGGCGCGATGACCCGCATCACCACACCCGTCGTAGTCTGCTGCACCCAGCTGGCACCGTCGTCGACCGTGTAGCAGACCTCGTACAGGCCAGGAACAGTCATTGCGGTCGCCAGAGCAACCTTGCCGCCCACCACGTTTGACGGAGAGTAGAGCGTTTCGCCGCGCCGCGCTGCCGGTGACGAGCACGACGCACCCGAGAGCACAAACGCAACACGCGAGTCGTCCGACGGCAAAAAGTCGGCCACGCCCGCAAATGCCACCTGCACCGATGCATGATTGGCGCCAATGACCGGCGTGACCGACGTAATCGACGTCGCCTGCGCCTGGATGATGTTGATCTTGGTCGCAGACGTCTGTAGAACACGGGTCTGGAAGTTGTCCACCGTGTAGCACACAAAGAACTCACCGGCGTTCGACAGCGGAGCAGAGGCGGGCATCGTGTTGTTGCCGTCCGGTACGACAACCGGGATCGTCTCTGCAGTCGTTGAGCAGTCCGAGGCAGTAGAGAGGAAGACAAACGAGTCGCTCGTCACCCGCAGCTGATCCAGGCCGGAGAACCGCGGCGTGGTGCCAAAACCAACCACTGTCGGCGTCAGAGACGCCACAGAAGCCTGGGTCGCCTCGATGATGTCAAGCGACACGCCACTTTGCTGCGTCCACGTCACCTGGTTGTCCACCGAGAAGCAGACTTGGTAGGTACCCGTCGTCGAAATGACGTCGTCCATGAACACAGAGGTAAACGACTCGGAGACGTTGATGGCACCCACCCGCTGCGTGCAGTCGATCTGCTGAGCCGAAAACGCAATGTAGGCAAACGGTGTCGGCACAATAGAAATGACAGGCGTGGCGGGCACAAACGAGAACTGCTTGATCTGGCCCTTCGCCGCCACTGTCGGCGAAATGCTCGTGATCGAGCCCGTCGCCGCCGTATGCACCACAATGGTCGCTCCCGACTGCTTCATCCACGGCGAGCGCGAGACACTGGGGTCCTCATTGGCGCACACGTCGTACGCCGCAGTCTGCGCCGGGGTGATCGGCGGGAACGTGACCGCGCCTGGCGACGCGCCCACCACCACTGTTGCCACCCGCTGACTCGCCGACGTGCAGTCCCCGTTATAGGGCACAAGCGCGAGCGACGCCGTAGGCAAGTTGAACGCCGCAGTCGTCTGCAGCCGCGGCGATGTCGACGCACCAATGTTGCTCGGAACAAAGTCCGTAGCCGACAAAAACGTCGCCTTGTAGAACGACACCGTCTGGCCAACCTGCGCAAGGGAAGAAACGCCGTCGACCGAGTAGCAGACAGTGTACGTGTTCTCCAAAATTTCGGGAATCGCGCCCAGATCGACCGAGAGCGACGACGAGAGCGAAAACGTGACAACCTCGGTACCGCTGCACGCGCCGACCACAAGGCGCACAGCGCCAAGCGGAGTAGGGACAAGGTCGGCCCCACCCGAGAACGTCAGCGTCGCTTCAGATCCAAACGGAAGGCTCGGATGCGAGACGGCGGTGATGGAAGTCGTCGTGGCCTCGACAACCTTGACCGTAGCACCGGGCGACGACTGGAGAATCATGTCCGCGAGCGTGGTGTAGTTGGTCGAGTAACAGATCGAGTACATGCCAACGCCCACGCCGCTGGCGAGCATCACCGGGCTCGGCGTCGCGGCACTAACCTCGGTCAGCGCCACGGCCGCATCACACGTCGACGTGGTCAGCGCAAAGTATGTGTCCGGAGTCGCGACCAGGCCCGAGATCTGAAGCTCAGGCGTAGTCGATGCACCAAATGCACTAGGCGAGACCGTGGCAATCGATGCCGGCTGCGCCGCCACCACTTCAAGCCGCGCCTCGGATGCGATCTGTTTCGTCCAGAGGTCGCCGGTGTCGTTGCGGAAGCAGGCAAAGTACTTGCCCGGAGAAAGGATGGGCGCGCCAAGCGGCGTCGTTGTCGTCGGTGCGGTTGTGATCGCTGTGACGGCAACCGGCGCGGCACAGTCGGGCGAGATGTCAAAGCCGAGCTGCGACGTCGACGAAATGTCACCGGTCACCTCGAGCGATGGCTGGGTGCCAGCGCCAATGATCCGCGGCGAGATCGAGACTAGCGATGACTCGACCGGGTCCGACGTCACCTTGAGCTCGACGAGCGTCTGTGGCACAAACGTACCCGAGATGCCACTCGTCGAGTAGCAGATGTAGTGCGGCTGCAGTCGCGCAATGACCACGTTGATCGCCACCGTAGTTGTCGAGATCACATTTGTCTTGCCGAACACACTCGAGCAGTCGCGGTCAAGCGAAAGTGCTACAAAGGTCTCCGGCGACGGCACCGCACCCACAAGTTTCAGCGTCGGCTGGGTCGAGTTGAGGAACGTCGACGGCTGCAGCTCGGTGATGGCGTTGACGAGCGGACACGCCACAGTCACCCGCGCGCCGGTCTGGCCGACATAGATCGGTGACGCTGAGATTGTGTGGTCGTTCGACAGACAGGCCTCAAACACAACGCCTGACGCGCTGCAGTCCTCAGCCTTGGGCGCGAACGTGTAGGGCTGCGAGCCGGTCAGCAGCGCTGTTGTCGTGGAAAGAAGGTTGAAGCCAGAGCCGAGGCCGTCGCACTTGCCGACCGGTGCAAAGCCGACATACCGCTGAGGTCCTGTGGAAGTTGCCTCGGTCATCTCCAGCGAGACTGTGCCCGAGCCGTGGTTCACAGGCGCACCGACAAGGGTCAGCTCGGAGGCCGCCCGGGGGCCACAAGAGTGAGGACGCGGGCAACGTCCTGAAGGTGCCACGTGGCTCCGTTGTTGACGGAGAGACAGACGTAGTACGTACCTGCAGTAATGACTGCCGCGCTCTGGCGCGCAAACGTGACGCGACGCGTCGTACCGCCGGTCAGCGCCAGCGGGGCCATAAGACTGGCACTGGCACAGCCAGATGACTCGTGAGTCTCGACAAGAGCCACCAGCAGCGAGTTGGAAAAGTATGCGTCGATGGCCGGAGCCAGCGTCACTTCGGTCGAGATCGACTTGAGGTTGGCAGGCGCCGGGATCACCGACGGAGTAAGGGTAGTGACCGAAGCCTGATCAACGTTGACAACCCGGATTTTCGACGACGATGCCGACGAGCCCCACGTGGAGCCGCCGTCGAGCGAGTGGCAAGTCGTGTACTCGCCGGGCGACGGAAACGGCGCGCCGAGTTCGAGCGACGAGACGGCCGAGGAGATCGATATGACGTTGGTCTTGGCTCCTGTGCAGGACCCAACAGTCCATCCCAGTCTGGTGACTCCCTGTGTCGGATCGACACCGGTCAGCGCGATGATGGTGGGCGTCTCTGAAGTGGTGACGATCAACGGCTGGAACTTGATCTCGCGGTCGATGGCCACAACCTGCAGCGTCACCGACGTCTGAACGTAGCCGGCGTCGTTGTCTCCAGCGTGTGAGACGCAGATGATGTGGGTGGTTGGCGTGGCAAAGGTGTCGCTGATGACCGCACCGTAGGCAGGGTAGGGCACTGTGTGCGACGCAGAGTCACAGCTCGCAGCAGCAAAGCGGACATACGAGTCTGGGGTCGGCACGTATGCGCCGAGCAGTTTGAGGTTGACAGCCACGTCCTCACCGACCACGGCAGGCACCACCGCATCAAACTCATCAGGCATGGACTTGACGATTTTGACCTGGAGATTAGCAGTCAGCTGGCGGACCCACGTCGGCTGGTCAAACGACCTAACGCACACCACATAGTCGCCAAGCGGTAGCGTCGACGGCAGAGCAAAGCCGGTTGTCGTCGCGCCCGCGAGCGAAAAAGCAGTGGCACAGAGCCGCAGTCGCTCGGGGAGAGGCCCCACTCGAGCCCAGGATACGTGTCCTCCGCCGAGATGGAGCCGTCAAAAGAGAGAGAAAACGAAACGTCGGTCCGGTCCAAGGTTTGGTAGAGCCCGACCACCGCCGGCGAGACTCCGGTGATGAACAGCGAGTCAACGTCCTTGGCGGTAGCGTACTTGAACACATTGCTCAGGACAGTCGAGCCCGCGGGAGTAAGCACCTCGGCAGTCTCTTCAACGGCAAAGAAGATGTTGCGCGACTGGGCTTGGAAGTCGATCCCGTCGATGCTCCGCGAAAACTGAAGATCGTTCTTGTTGTACACTCCAAGTCGCGAGTTGCCCGAGCCGTCATGCAGAACCGAGGTGTAGCCTGTCCCAGGGTTGGAGATCGAGCACGGCGAGTCGGAGCCGGTGGCAAACAGGTCGTAAGGGCCCGGGCTGTCCAGGCCGGCCAATAGCGGGTGATCAGTCAACTTGACAGAATCCGTGGCGGTGCAAGGGCCAATGTTGGCCCAGTACATCCACGGCGCAACATCCTTGTTGAGGAGGACAACCGGAATGGTGGCATCGCGGAAGAGGCCCTGAAGATCATGGGGTTCGCTTGCAGACACTGGCTGGGCGATTGACGACGAGATGACGATGCCGACCTTGTTGTTCGCATGATACGTCCCAACCCAGTCGGCACTCACCACGTACACCGAGTAGCCCTGGGCAACAAGGTGATCATAGACCAGCTTGTCAGCCTTGGCGAACGAGGGGTTCGCGACAGAACCAACGGTCCAAACGTTCTCCTCGGACCCAACAACCATCAGCCACTCTCCGCGCGGCGCAGGAGTCGTGCAGGACGGCCCCGACCAGCCCGGCAAGCACTTGTGGCAGACATCGTGAACGCCGACACCGCTTGCACACAGCTCACAGTTGACCACGTTGCACGTCTTTCGAGCAGTGCAGAACTCAATAGTGAACTTGTCGCCCAGCCCGCTTTGATGAAACACGTCTTGCGACGGGTTGTACGCGAAAGCACGCGCATTGGACAAGTCTGGCTGCGAATCGCTAAAGTCCAGACCTTCTGCCGGTGTACCATCCAGCCAGATGAAGCCAGTAGAGAGCTGAATGTCAAAGATGAGCCCCGTCCACAACTCGCCACTGAAGGCGAGACCGGATGACAGGAACCGCTTACGATAGCCACGCGTCGGCAGTGTCACTAAATATCCACCCTGGGCATCACATTCGGCTGCCGCGTCCGCGAAGTCGTCGTTGTTGTATCTGGCGAAAACACAAACTCCTGGTGTCAACTCAACCGCTGGTCCAGAACAAGATTGGTCAGCGAAGACAGACGACGGCAAACAGGTTGCAAGTGCAGCCACGATCACACTGATGTCCGTCCCAGGAGAACCGTTGATGTGAGTTATGTGCCTCGCCAACGCACAAAAATGAACAACCAACGGAATGTGGACGACCAGGCGGCGAAAAGGCCTTTTCCTTCCGCTTGCGAAAAAAAAGCCCAGCCCAACCACCGCCAACACGCGTGTTCCCCCACCACCGACCGGGGACCGTGGGGGAGGGGGAAGGGGTGGTATTGAGGGTGCTTCCGGAATAAGAACGAACGGTAGACAATGCAAAGATACAGCAATGGGTTGATTGTATCTGTGTATGGAGGGGGGGGGGGGGAGGGAGGGGGGGAGGGGAGGGGGGGGGGGGCATGGCCAGGGCAGAGCTTTGCCTTGCAGCAACGACCGATCTTTGCAGGCAAGGAGGCACAGGAAGTAAGCACGGGGGTAGCGTACCCAAAGAGCGACAAGGCCACCTTCATGGTGTAGAGCGAGTCAGCACGTCACGTTGACAAGAAGGGGCGGGGGTGGAAAAGGGGTGGGAAAAGGGGGGGGGGGGGGGGGCGGGAATGCGTAAGGTGGGTGTGGGTGTAGGTGCTTGAGAGTCGTGTAGCCTAATGCGGCAGGTTGCCGCTGCTAGCGCCCAAGATTGTCCACGCTGGGATGGCCTGAGGCAAATTGGTAGAACTGTCGAGTGGTCAAGGATTCTGCACGGCTGCCGAGTTCCGGGCAAACAAAGTTGAGCGCAGACGCGGTGGGGAGCAGAAGGGGGAAAAATACGTTTACTTGGTCAGCAAGCACTCCAGCGGTACATCACTGATGCGCAAAGCGGCAGGAAGTGCCGAAGCGGCAGCCCTGCGGCGACTGGAAAAACTTGCAGACGACGGGACCCGAAGAGGCCTGATGGGCGGCCGGAGGAGCCTGGGCCATGCCCGAAGGATGGACAAAGCGGCAGGAGGCGCCAAAGGCGCAGCGGCTCTGCAGGAAAAACTTGCAGACCGAGGGGTCGGCGGCAGCGGCGCCGCTGCGGGCAACGGACGCGCTCGCCGGGGCCGCAGCCGGAGCAGAGGCCGACGAGGCCGGAGCCGACGACGCTGCAGGCGCAGTGGCATCCTCGACAGCCGCAAGAGCAGCGTCGACACCGCCAAAGTGGTCCACGATGGCGTAGTAGTAAAACGGCTCAGCAGTCCGGAGGGCGTCATCATCGCCCAGCTCGTTCCGCAGATCGCCCAGATCCATCTTCCACGCCACAAAGTCGACAACCTCAGCGCGTGTGTAGCCGCGCTCCTTGGCAAAGGCCCGAGCCTCGACGTCATCGGCGTCAGCAAGCCCAGGCGTGTACACAAACTTGTATGACCGGTCCGTCGTCATCAGCGCCTTTTGCATGGCTGCCAGCTGAGCGGCGTGCGGCGACGCCGCCGCAAACGACGACCGGAGCCGTGCCCGCGACGCTGCATCCACAAGGTTCGAGAACGGCGTGTGGACCTTGGCCGGCCGCTTGTGCTCCACCTGCGCGAGCCGCTCCAGCGCAGCAAGCACAGAGACCACCTCGGCCCGCGACCAGACAAAGCCGTCGCCGGCCGACGCACGCACCTATCCACGCCCGTCAATCACCAGGGTCGAGCGCCCCGTGACCACACCTACTTTGTAAATCCACCTCCTCCATGCCTAGCATCCACCACCACCTCATCCACACCATGCAAATATCCTTCTTCCTCTCCTTCCCCACCGCCAACCCCCCATCCACCGCCAGGGACTCGGCCATAACCGTCCTCGGCAGGCGCCGCCCGCGCCGACGCCCATCCACCGTCCATCCTTGGCCACTCGCTGGCACCTCCACCAAGGCTCACGCCTCGCGCCTTCGACCACCACCAGCACCACCCTTTGAAGGGGCGAATCATGGTTTGTGACCGTAGCAGCCTGCATCTAATGCCGCTACACGGCCACACAGTGCTACAGAAAACAAGCAAGTAGGCCAAGCCGAGGTAGGGAAAAACCCAAAAGGCTCTTCCTCCTCGCCTCGCCTCCCCGGGGAAACCACGACGGCGTGGCGATGCGTACCTTGTCAGTGATGTCGGCCTCAAAGGAGATCTCCGGTTCACTGGGACATGTGATGACTGCCGTAGCAGACTCTACGTTGTTAGCGCTGTCGAGCACAACCGTTTGGTCCACAAAGACCTCGAGAAATCCAGCCATGTTCCAGAGAGCGAGGTGGTTGCTACTCCTCACCCGAATCGGACAAAGTCGAGGTGCCATCGCCCGGTGCCCGTCGAGCAGCCTCGCCTACCGCCTCTCGCACACAACACCAAGCACCACGAATTGCGTTACACCCTGCTTTGACCTTCCCTTCCCCGTGGCACAGGCTTGGATCAATGGGTGTAGCTGTGATCGTTGGATGGATGACTCCCCTAGCCCCACTAGCCAATCGGTGGAGCCGGAGGAACGGGCAACAACCAAATCGGAACGACGAATCGTCAGCAAACTCCACCGCCGCCATTGTCACTGCTACTTGGCGCCGAGACTGGCCAGCAACGACATGGCCAATGCGAGCATGTCGCCGTTTGTAGCCTCGTTCCTGGGTGACTTTGGCCATGCCCAGCAGATTGCAGAGGACGGCGAGTCCATGCTTGATGTACGCAACCCATGCTATCCTTCACCCCCCCCCCTCCCCCCTCCCCCTCTCCTCCCCTGCTCCCCGCTTTCCCCATGCCCCCCTCCCTCCTTCTTCCCTTCACGTGCCTTGCTGGCCACGTGTTTTCGTACGAACTCTATCTCTTGACGGCTCCCGCTCGACCAACTCCTGCTTGGCAAGTGTTGGCTTGCACCGGCAGTGCTCGAATCAACACATGGGTGCAGAGCTTGACCTTTCAACGGGTGGACGCAAGTTGTTCGTCTGCATTGCGGGCTCTGTCTGCTGCGCAAACCTAGCTCGCCACGACTTGTTGCCGTTGTTGGAACTTGAACAAGTCAAAGTTGGCGTCCGGACCTGGGGGGGAGCATTCGTTTGAGGCATGCGCACGCAGCTCAACAACTTTTACGCTCTCCCGACAATCGGGGTGCGGTGGGAAGTGATGCGTTTGTGCGCGTGGCAAGAGGAAGAAGAAAACAGCTACAGACTCACATTTGCGATGGGGTGATCGGCAATTGATGGGGCGGCAACACACAGAACATGGTGCAGTACTTGCAGCGGCTGGCTCTCATTGAGAGGCGGTACGCGGACGAGTTGACCGAGCTGTCCAACGAGACCAAGCTCTCGTTTACATCGAAAGGCCGCGACTCGTCTGAGGCCTGCTATCGGACGTTTGTGCAGCACATGGCGCGCGAGGGTATCCACCACTCCAACGTGGCGGACAAGATCGAGACGTACATCGTGCCGCCGCTGGTGGAATGCAAAGAGACAACGGTGAAGACGGTGGCTGCAGCGCTTGACGAGCGCAACACCATGCTGCAGCGGTTTGAGGAGTCTCTGGCATCCATCGACGAGATGCAGCATGAGTTTGACGAGCTGCGCGCCCGCGCCGATGTAGCCCGCGAAACGCTGTCCAACTCGTCGTCGGCATCGATGCGCGAGAAGAAGCGCAAGCGGCTCATTGACGACGCAAAAAAGGCCAAGCAGGAGATGCTCGACGCAAAGTCGCGCTACAACGACGGCGTCCGCATCTTCAATGCCGTCCAGTCGGACTTTTACGTCCGCGCCCTCCCCAAATCGCTCAACGCGCTGCAGTCGACTATTCTTCGCCGCCTGATGGAGACCAAGGCCGCGTTCAAGCTCATGCACCGCGCCCTCTACCCCTCGCCCAAGTCGCTCGTCGATACCGTCGGCCAGCTCGAGGCCGCATACCAGGCTATCGACCCTCAAGAGGACATCATGGTATTTTGCTCGTCGGCTAACTCTCAGTGGGTCATGCCGTCCGACCGCCAGCAGGCGCTCACGCCTGAAGAGCGCGACGCCCTCTACGAGGCCGCTTTTGAAGACTATTTCCACATGTCCCTCCACCGCGAGAAGCGCGACCGTCGCCGCAAGCGCCGCGAGCGTATGCTCGAGCGTGCACGCCTCACATACATCGAGGACGTCGGAGACTCCCCCGACGCCCTTACTGATGACCAGCTTCTTGCGTGGATGCAGCGCACCCGCGAGGAAGAGCTGGCCGCAGCCGCAAAGGCCGATGCTTTTAAGCTGCAGGCCAACACCCGGCGCAGTTCTGTCTCGCTCTCCTCGCTCGCCTCACCGCTCTTTATGGCCCACATGGCCCACAAGGGCTCTACCACAGCGAGCTCCGCACCAGTCTCGCCATCCATCACGGAAGAGGTTCTAATCGAGGATGCGGCCGCTATGCGGCCGTCCATCGACTTTTCAAATGCCCTCTCCTCCTTCTCTCTTCAAGCACCGGCCCCCTCCGCCGCTGCTGCAAACTCGGCCACTGACGCCTCAAACCTCACGTATGGCTCATCAGCCTCGAGCTCGTCGTCGGGCTCGTCGTCGGACTCGTCATCCTACTCGTCATCATCGTCAGACTCGGGCGCCGGCGCTGCTGCCAACGCAGACGGTGAGCCGCCGTCGTCTTCCTCTCGCCACAAGCGCCACAAGCGGAAGCCCAAGAAGCCTGGCCCTGACGATGCCGTTCCTTCCACTCCGGCCAAGATCCCTCCACCTCTCCCACCCAAGAACCGTCTTCCACCTCCACCTGACGTTGCCGAGAACGTTGGCGGCTTTGGTGACAGCTTTGACGAGATCTGCGCCGAGGGTGACGCCGAGATGTACCATGCCGAGCACGGCGAGGGCTACGACGGCGAGTATGGCAAGTATGACATGGACGGCGAACACGGCGAACACGGCGAACACGGCGAACACGGCGAACACGGCGAACACATTCACTATGATAGCTACAACACCGATGTCGCTAACGACGTCATGCTCGATGGCCCTGACCCCAACCCTGCACCCATAGCTGGCGACAACGATCCTTCCGGCTACACCGCCCTGCCGCCGCCACCAACCCGTGCCTCGCCGGAGCCTACACTTGCCACAGAGCCCGATCTCTCTGGTAAGCAATCCAGTGAGCCCATCGAGTCCATCGAGCCCGCCATATCGTAACATCCCCCGAAACTCCTTGCACCCCCCTCTGCGCACAACCGTGTGTGCTGGCGTCATCGCCAAATCCAACGACACTCGCCCACACCGCACGCGTACGTACCAAACCCACGCCGCCACCCAACAGACGCCACGGACCCACGCGCCAGACGGCGCCGACTCCAGTCCCCCCCCCCTTTACACACGGCCCATCGCCATTGGTAGTGCATGCCAAGCGCGACACGTATCTACCCGTCACCACACCCCTCCCTAAGCGTCATGCCCAAGACCGCTGCCAAACGACGAGGAACGAACCGCCACCGAGACAAACCAAGGAACAGGAACAAGGTCGATCTTTCTTCTTCGTATCCCCGACAGCCCTCGGACTTGTCTGATCACCCATCACCATCGGGGGCGTCGACCTCGTTGCCGGAGTCGTCTCGCGGAGACCCCTCGCTCCCGCCGCTGCCCAAGTCCTCAGGCCGCCGCGCGCGCCGTCATCACTCCAACTCGGACTCAGACTCGGACTCGGACTCGGACTCGGCGTCGGCCATGGAATCTGGCTCGAGCTCACCGCCGCCTGAGAGCAAATACGACAAAAGCGAGGATGAGTCCAAGACTGCGGCTCATGGCTCGCGGCAATGGCACTCGGCATCGAGCAGCTCTGGATCTGGCTCGGACTCGAGCTCACGGTACGACAACGACGCGCTGCTGCGCAAGTTTGAGCGCGGCTCGCTGGGCATGGTCGACTATCGCAACGACAACGATCTCATGCAGCGCGGGCATTGGTCGCTGTGGCTTGCGCACATCATGACTATTGTGTTTGGCATCAACGCGCCTTCGGCGCTCTGGCGAGTGTACTCGCTAACCATCGCTGCGGCCGTAACCACGGTCACCGTCGTGCAGATAGTGTCTCTCTTCTCCGACTTTTCCGATCTTGAGCATGGAATCATTGTCCTCCTTGCTGCGCTCTGGTACCTTCTCAACATGCTCACAGCTTGGTCGTTTGCGCTTCGCTTTTGGGGCCACACCGGGTGGCTGTTTGGCATGTGGAAGGCAATGTGGCAGAGCGAGGCCGACGTCTGCCGCTCGCACCACCGCTTGCGGTTGCTCATGCCGGCCGTGATATTTGGCGTTGTTGCCAACTTGGCGCTTACTCTTGCTGCACGATGGTTTGGCTTGCAGCGTGATGCGCAGTCGGTCTTCCGTGAGATGTTCGTTCTCTCGTCGAACGGGGCGCAGGTTGTCTTTACCGTCATCCACGTCTTTGCCACCGGTATTTTCCTCACGCCGCTGGCCCTCTTCTTTGACACCGCCGTCTCGCTCACCCGCCGCATTCATTGGCTTCAGAAAAAGGTGTTTCGCGATGAAAAGTCACTCACCGAGCTCGTCGACGATTTTAGCGAGCTCTCGGTCCACGCCATGCTGGCAAACAAGCTGTTCGGCCCGTGGCTCACCTGCATCTTTGCCGTTCAGATTCCGCTCGTTGCCATCTGCCTTGTCTCTCTTCTCTCGTACACGTCTCTGGACGGCCTCACTATCTCGGTCCTTGCGCTCTGGCTTGTTGTCAACACGGTCCTTACCTTTACCGTTGCTTTCATTTCGGCCAAACTCCACGCAGACACCGAGGCCACCATCCACAAGATCGCGCTGCATGTGGCATCGGGCCGTAGTAGTAGCCACCGCTCGGAGTTTATGTTCTTTACCGCCTCGATCAGCGCCCACGAGATCGGATTTCGCGTCGGCGGCTCGGTCCTCATCACTTTTCACGTCATGACCAAGGTCATTTCTTTCATCGGATCGCTCTACCTGCTACTCGTTGGCTTTCGGGCACAGTAGACTGCTGCTGTTGGCGACCGGCGCGGCGCCGGCGCGACGCGCGCGCGTGAGTATCAGCTGGCTCGCGCTGTGCGATGCTGGCAGCAAGGCGGGGCATTTACTGGAAACATAGCGACAGGTGTCACCATGGCCGATGCGGTCGGAGGCACGACGTCATTGCGGTACCCCAACGGACGAGGGAGGTAGCTACGAACGAGCCAGGACCAGGACAACGACTGTCAGCAAAAGAAGCAAATGGTAGATGAGAAGTCGACGGAACGAGTGGTGGGTAAAGTGGACTGTGGGAGAAATAGACCACACGAAGCGCTGAGACGATGACGCCTCAAAACGGAGCGAGGCCACACGCGAGCCCAAGTGCCACGACTTGGCGGCGAGCCGCTCGGCAGCGACAGCGAGCTGTGACGGAATCCATGCCCAGGAAAGGAGATAGAAGGTGATGCAGACAATGATGAAGATTGTAGCATACGTTGGCGGAGGGTACATGCCGATGTAAACTGAAAAAAGGTGACGAGACCGGTGTACAGAACAGCGCCGATGACCCAGTACACCTTCCACACATCCACCGAGGCGCGGAGCTTGCGGCAGAGCGAGTCAAAGTGCATGATGACGCCGCCAATGTCGGTGATCGAGACAGTCGCCGAGGCGTAGAGCGCGTCAGCCATGGCTGGGTCTGAGCGATAAACAGTGGCGACTGGGTACGAGCCCGAGCCCATCGAAAGATCCAGGTTTGGCGAGGGCATTGCCATTGAGCCGTCCGGGTGGAGTGATGGTCGCCGACCGATTGAGAGCACGCCCATCTGGTGCGAGACGTCGCTGACGGCAGCAAGGTAAACCCGAACGAGAAGGAGGAGCTCAATGAGGGCAAACGGAAACATGATGGCCAGCGGCGAAGCGATAACAAAGCAGACAAAAAGTGCGGTCGAGAGGTGCGCGGATGTCGTCGCCGCAAGAACAGCAACACCGACCATCTGCGCGATGACTACGACAACGTGGAAGCCGGTGTCCAGCTTGGCGAGCAGCCGTCGCTCACGCTCTGAGCACACCAGATTGGCCACCAATACTTCGAGCTCTTTGCACACCTCTTGCCGCATGAGGAACCAGAGCGTGACGCCCGAGTACAGTCCGGCGATCCATGCCGGGATGAGGATCGGCCAAGCGAGGAACGAGCCCGATGTGTCTTCTGGCCGCGACGACGCCTCGAACGCCCGCAGTACGATAAGCATGAGCAGCGCCGGTGCGACAGAAAGCGAGATGAAAACTTGGTACACCTCGTACGCCAAGCTCGATGACGACGAGTAGAGTCCCAGCGCGCCTAGGATCCAGCGGACAGCCCGAGGTCGCACATATGGAGTTCCGGGCGGAACGCGCGAGTCTTCGCCATGTACCCAAGCCGCTGAGTGGCCGCCGCCGCCGCCGCCGCCGCCGCCGCCGCCTGCCCAAGAGGGCGGCGACGGCGGGGTGGACGAGATTGAGGAACGCGGCTGGCCGGTCTCAGCACCGCCGATGCCAAAGGCCGGCGCGACTCGTCGGGAGTCGCGACCGGTTGGTGCCACACCGGTCGGTGAATGCATCACGCTTGGTGGTGTCGGCGTCGATGTCACAACTTCCTCTTCCTCGGCCCGGATGGACATGACGTGGTTGGCAAGCTGGTTGCGCCGCGGCGACTGCGAGCGCAGGGTAGGCGCATCCGGCCCAGGCTGAAGGCCGTCGCCGCGCTCGCGCTGCTTCTGCCGCATGAGAACCTCTTCGTTTGACCGCGAGAACCCAGTCGACGCCAGCTCGGAGAGGAGGGGATAGTCTGGCGGAGGATCGAGGCCGATAACGTCAAGCGTGTTCGACCGCTGAACCGCAACTGGCCGGCCGGTAGGGCGTGCGTGCGGAGGAACGGGACCGCCGACTCGCCCGTGAGGTACGGGCCATGCACGGCTTGTCGAAGCAGGCGTGGTTGTCGGGTGAGACTCGGTCGGCGTGACCTCAGCCTCAGTTTCATACTCGTCGGATGACATGCTGTAGCCATCAAGCGACGAGCTTTCGAGTCCGTCCAGTGCCGACGAGCTCAGCGTGAGGTCTGAGAACGAGGAGCTGGTGAGAGACGCAGATTCGCCGTTCTGCTTGTAAGCGAGAGCAAGCTTGGATTTGAGCATTGCCTTGGCCTTGGCCTTGTAGTGGGCCTTGATGCGCGAGACGTCGAGCAAGAGCAAATCGGTCGATGAGTACTGCGAGTAAGTGAGCGTGGTCGGCGTCCGCGACCGAGTGCGCGACCGAGGCCTCGAATCCCGGGCCTCGATGCATGACGATTCTAGCTCAGACGTAGACGATGCTGCCGAGTTGCGCAAAATGACAAAGACGTCCCCACCACGGCCGGGCGTGTGCCCAGAGGCACGTGCTAGAGTACCCGGTGAGCGCGAGCGGTGGGCGGCGCCTTGCACCGCAGACGAGTGCGAGCCGATCGAGTCAGCCAGCTGGGCCGGCGAGCGCGAGCGCGGCCGACTGAGCCCGGTTTCCACACCCATGCTCTGGACATCAACATGTTCCTGGACTGCGGGTAGCGGCGAGGGCGAGCTGGCATTCGAGCGACGCTTTCTGTGCCCACTACGCGAACTGGACTTGCGCGAGTGGGGAGTCCGGCGCGGGTTAGATGACGACTGGCGCGAGGTTGGGTGCGAGATCGAGCCTGTGCCGTGGTTCTGGCGTGCTGCGGGCGACGGCTGCGCGGTGGGCACGCCCGACTGAGAGAGCGACCGCCCGCCATCGCGCGCATCAGTTTGAGACCGCTTTCGCGTCTTGGCTTTGATCCTAGCCTTGGCCTTGGACTTGGCCTTGGCCTTGGCCTTAGATCGCTCCTTAACCCAGGCTCGGAACTTGGCTTTGGCCTTCTCTTTGGCTTGCGCCTTGGCTTTGGCTTTTGCCCGCGCCTTGGAGCTCGCCCGTGACCTGGGCTTGGTGCCACCGCCGCCGCCGTTCGCAACGACAGCAAAACCGTCCGAAGCCTGGACCGATGAGGCCATTCGACCGACCTCCGAGAACGGCGAGTCGTGCCGCGATGTCTGACTGCCTGATCGCGATGGCTGCGAGACCTGCGACGAGCGGCGCAGTGGCGGGGCGGTGGTGAGCATGCCTGTGCTCTCACCAACTTCTCGACTGGCAGCAGCTGCCCGGGCCTTGGCTTTGGCCTTGGTCGTGGCTTTGGCCTTGGCCTTGGCCTTGGCTTTGGCCTTCGCTTTGGCCTTGGCCTTGGCCTTGGCCTTGGCCTTGGCCTTGGCGCGGGAGCGCGTGTCGTGGCTACCCGACTTCCGCACAGCATTTGCAGCAGACGTCACCAGCAGCTGGCGGTCGCGAAAGCTGGTCGCGAGCCCATCACGCTCTGGCGAGCGGACTGGGGTGTTCGACCGCGAGTGGGACTTGACGACCGACTCAGAGAGCTCAGTAATGGAGCCGGTGGAATCTGACCGCGAGCGCGAGTGCCCGTGCGGGTGCAGATGGTCGGCTGTCGTGCCAGGTGCTGCAGCGTTTGTCACGCCCAACACTGGTGCAGCGCCATCGGCAGCCATGCCCGGTTGCGGCGCTGATAGACTTGTTCCAAACTTGTCGTCCAGGAACGAGTTGATGGTGAGCTGAAGTATGAGCTCGTCGCTGCACTGGATCTCGTCCGAGACCGAGACATCCGATGCTACCGGAAGCGAGGCCTCGGACGAGCGGAAGGTATTGCGACGAGACCAGGTATGGCCCGATGAAGACTGGCGCGAGGCCGGGCTCGGTGGCTCGATAAGGGTAGGCGGCCGGTGCAGACCAGCCTCGCAGCTCGACTCTGACGGCGGCGTCGACGACGACGACGACGTAATTGCCTCTTGCACAAGGGCTTCGGACGAGGTGGGCGACAAACATGAAGGTGAAGAGGCCAGGTACGAGCCAGAAGACGTGGCGGTTGTCGCACTTCTTGTCAGCTCGTTCGAGCCCTTGACATCAGACGATGAACCGCCTGAGCAAGAGGAGAAAGGGCCAGAGCCCTGCGAGGCCAATGACGCTCCGCTCCGGGCGCTCTTCATGACGATGCACTCCCAAGTGTCACCACACAATGCAGTGCGGCGTCAGACAAGGTAGCTGTCAGACAAGCGCTCGCAGTACAAGCAGTAGTGTGCTGAAGCCCTGGCTGTGGCGCTACCCGCAGACGCTCGAGTGGTGAGGGCCCCACCGCCGGGGAGAAAGGTGGGGCGGTTGGCCGAGCTGACAACGGGGTGGAAGCCGAGACTGTAGGCGGAGGAGAATAAGCCGCGGCAGAAGTAGCTGCAGCGACAACGACCGGAGACGCGAGGCTGCAGTATAACCCCTCCCCAGAGGATAACGACGCCAGGTCGGTGAGCGAGGTGTCTTACTGTCACACTCGCTTCCCCTCGCCTACCGCATGCTGCCGGCTCTGTCCCCAAGTCCCTCAATGATACCATGTTTGTGACGTTTGACAGACACGTCGGAAGCGGGCCGGGGACGGGGATGACAGACATGATTCCTGACAGTCGTTGATGCAAAGAGAATGGTCTCGGCTGGAAAGGCCATGCCTGCTCCTCCATCCTCATGGTGTCTCTCCCGGTGTTGCCTTCTCTCGCCGTCGAGGCCATCGCATGCGCCACATGACTACCTCCCGCAGCTTCGTTCGGGGGTTACTCTGCGGCGGTAGGTCCCACCCAGAACGGGTGCTTTTCGCCCGCTCACCGGAAAGCCGCCGGGGCAGCAGCCACACCGCTTGCCGCTCGCCGCTCGCCGCTCACTGTTCGCCGCGCAACACACGCCCCTCGAGCCAAGACGGAGCGGCGCAACACCATGGCTAGCCTGGTGGAGCTCGAGGCCAAAGTGGCAGAGCTCAAGGCCGAGGTGGCCGCTGCGCAGGCTCGCGGCGACATGGAGGCTGTGGCGGCGGCAGCAGCAGCGTACACGCAACTCAGCGTGGAGATCGAGGAGGCCTCGGTCAGAGAGGCAGCTGCGGGGTCAAGCAAGAAGGCAGAGCGTGAGCAGACGGAGGCAAATGCACGGACCAAGGCGCAAGCAGGCGAGCAGGTTGTGCTTCACGTGTACGATCTAGCGGCTGGAGCGTTGCCTGCGGCGAACCGTGCTGCGTCGCTGGTGGGACTCGGGGCGTATCACGGCGGGATCGAGGTGTACGGCGCCGAGGTGTACTTTACGTTTGATGCGGGCATTGTGACGTGTGCACCTGGTGGCAACACGGCGCACGTGTACAACTCTGCGGCGGTACTGGGCGAGACAATGCTGTCTCGGCGCAAGGTCAAGGCAGTCATTTCACAGATGCGACGCGACGGCTGGATTGCTGACAACTACGACCTACTCAATCGCAACTGTCTGCACTTTGCACGGGCATTTGTTGAGGCGCTCGGACTGCCTGGCGACGCCGTTCCGGCCAAGCTCAATCGGCTGGCGGGCATCGGGTCCAAGCTGGACGCGGCGGCAAGGGCGGTGGCTGGCACCTCGCTCTCATTCCTGCGTGCAGCAACAAGCTTTGCGTCGAGCTCGGCAGCAACGAGCTCTGGTGGCTACACGCCACCAGAGGCATCCGGCTGAGCGGCAGGCAGCGAGCCGCGCGGTGCGACGTCGACCGGCGGTGACGGCTCATTGTGCGAGTCAAAGGCAGAGGCCCAGGTGGGAGCGCCATCGGGCGAGGGGCTGGGGCAGCGGCGCGGGAGCGATGCCGCTGCCGTCGGACTTCCCGGCTCAGCCAGCCACGGATGGGCGAGCACGTCGGCGATGGACGGCCGCTTTTCGGGCTTGGTCACCAGGAGCGAGGTGAGGAGGTCGACGCACGACGGGCTCAGCTCGCCGGGGACGGCGAAGCGGCCGCGCTTGATGGCGCGGAAAAGCGATTTGTTGGAGACGGCGCCGGCTTGGCGACGGAAAGGAAGTTGGCAGTGAGGAGGGTGTACAGGACCACTCCGAGCGACCAGACGTCCGAGGCAAACGGCGAAAGCGCAGGCTTGCGCAACATCTCGGGTGAAATGTACGACGGCGAGCCACAGTGGATCTCGAGCCGGGCCGAGGGCGAGTCGCAATGTTTGGAAAAGCCAAAGTCGATGAGCGTGGCGCACGGCGCGCCTGGGCCGCCGTCGGGCCACGAGAGCAACACGTTCTCCAGCTTAAGGTCGAGGTGAGCCACGCAGAGCTGGGTGTGGAGCATGGCGACGGCGTCGACAATCTGCCCAAAGATGGGGCGGGCCATGGCCTCGTCCATTTCCCCCTCGTGCGCGTGGACATACTCGAGCAGATCGCCGCCCTCAACGTAGGGGAAAAGCAGCGCGGCGTAGTTGTCGTCCTCGGCGTAGTCGTGGAGCTCGATACAGCCAGACTCGGGTCCGTACTCGGCAATGAGCCGCAAAATGTCCAGCTCCGATGCCAGTGATGCCTTCTCGGCGGCGCACATGGAAGCTTTGACCCAGACTTTGGCCACCAGCGGCGGGCCAGCCGCCACCGACCATGCGCGGAAGACCTTGGATGAGCCCGCCACAGGGGCCGCAAAGTCGATGCGATAGCAGCTTCCCAGCGCGTAAACTTCTTCTGGCGCCGATGGTCCGGGCGGTGCCATCGGCCGAGCCCGCTTGCTGCTCCGCGCGACAACGGTGCCGTCGGGCCGGGTGCGAGCCAACTTGACGCGCCCGAGGTCAGCGGCCTCATTTGCCATGACGACATCCGATCCACCAGCCTCCGATTCAGTACCAGCACCAGCACCAGAACCCCTCACGGCTGTTGTGGGTCCGGCCGCCGAGCTGGTCGCCCGTCGCATGCGGCAGGCCTCCAAGCTTGCATTCTCAGCCATCGCATCTGCATCCGTCACTGCTGCGGACGCCGTCGCCGCCGCCTCGGCCGCCGCCGCCTCTGCCACCGCCTCCTCTTCCAGCGCCATGCTCAACGCAGAGCGACCATGCATATCTTCCTCCTCGCACACACCCTGGGGGAAGGAGGAAGAAAGCGGGAGGGCGAGAAGTGAGGCGTTGGAGATAATGACGGTGAGGGAGTAGGGAGGGGGGGGACTGACGTGTGGGAACATTGGCTACTTGCGGGGAACGGGGAGTTGGGCAGATGCCAGTCGGATGGAAGGTGGTGGTGGGGGGGGGGGGGGGGGGGGAGGGGAGGGAAGGGAGACGATCGCGATGGAGGGCGGAGGCTTTGGGCAGGGGTCTGAGGAGAACATGATATTGGATTCTGGGGGCGATGAGCTGACATCAGGGATGCGATGATAGTGTTGACAGTGACTGTGTGGGCGTGGGTGCTCGGGCAGGCGCTCCGGCTCCGGCTGGCGTACATCACTCTCGGTGCGACGTGTGAAGACTGGGCTTAGTATGCACAGGCGAGAGCGCGGGCTGGTTGCGGTGGCGCTGGCATGCGGTGTGGCGGCGGTGGCCGTGGACCTCGAGTACCACGTCCACGAGTGGGGACTGCCGACAGTCGCTGCCCTCCGCCATGCACTGCTCTCGGCGCCGGCAAGCGTGCTCGCTCGGCTGGCGTCGGCTTGTGGCTTTGAGATTTTCCTTCCCCTCGTCCCTGCGCTCATCTGGTCCGGATCGCGGCGGGCCGGCGCGCTGGGCCTCCGTCTCCTCGCCCTCCTCCACTACTCGCTGCTGCTTGTCTCGCTCGCCAAGACCTGGTTCCGCGAGCCGCGCCCGCTGCATCTGCTCCGTGAGCACTCGGGCTCCGGATCGATGGCGGTCGACGGCGCCTCGGCGCTGGACTCAGTCGAGTACTCGTTCCCATCAGGCCACTCGTGGGCGACAACCGTGGCCTGGCTCACTGTCGTCGACACGTACTCGGCGAGCTACGCACAGCTCCGCTGGCTGGCAGCCGCCTGCATCGCCGCCACTGCAGCATCGCGCGTCTACTTTGCCCTGCACTTTGTCCACGACGTCGGCTCGGGCATCGCGCTCGGCGTCCTGACCTTCTTTGCCGCGCCGAGCCTGCTGAGCGACTCACGCCGAGCCCTGGCCGCCCGCCTCGTTCTTCTCGCCACCGCCGGCTACGTCCTTATCGCTGCCTTTGAGGCCCACCACCGCCAGAAGCAGCTTGGTGCGTGGTACTCGCTAGGAGCACTTGTCACCCTCGCCTTTGTCCCGCCGCGCGCGCCACTGCTCGACGCCGCCGCCGCCGCCAAGCCTGGGCTCTCACCATCGCGCCTGGCCTGGCGCCTGCTCGTCGGCCTCACCCCACTTGGTCTTGGTCTTGGCCTCATCTTTATTCGCGTTGTCCGCGGCCAACGCGACACCGAGCTCGAGATCATCCTCCTCCTTGCTGGCGCTGCCGGAGCCACGTGGGTCACTGTTGGAGCACCGGCCGTCTTCCGCCGTCTCAGTCTCGCCTAACAACATATCCTCTCCCCACGCTTTGAATCCTAGCTTGCCTCCACATCGCCACTTCTGTTATCTTAGCCATGTCCTTGATCCAGGCCGCGGCCGGGCCCGTTGCCAGGCCGACGCCAAGGCCCAAGCCCACCTGTCCACCAGCACTTCCACCCGGACGACGTCATACACAAACACACACACACACACACACACACACACACACAATCTCACATGTCGCATCCAGAGTACTCAGACTCGGACTCGGAAGGCGACGACACGTTCCTCGACGGCGACGACGAGGTCGGCCCGGGGCAGCTGGCGGCGGCGGGGCAGTCGGCTGACGGCCAAGGCCTGGCTGCCGAGGCAAAGCCTAGGCGCAAACGCTCGATGCTGGACTACCCGGACAAAATCGTTGCTCTTCTAGAGGGTGAGCCGCCGGTGCCAAGTGGCGCGCCTCCGGTCGCCAAAGCGGCCGTAGATGGCGATGGTGCGGGGCTCATGGCAGCGGCGGCAGCAGCGGCGGTGGCGGCCGGCCCCGGCCCAGAACCGGGTACGTCAGCGGTGGCGGGGCGAGTGCCGGTCGCGCCCGGGGTCCAGATCCGTCGTGGAGAGCGGAGAATCTCCAAGGGTTCGTTCGTGGTGCCAGACGACGAGGATGATGATGATGCGGTGGCTGCCGCGGCTACCGCGGCTGTCGCTACGGCGGCTGGGCCTTCCAAGGCTGACGCATAAAGGACTGGAAGGGCATTGAGCCAGGCGAGGAGTACAGATGGGAGTATGTTATGGCCTGCAGCGGCTACTCGATGTTCATGGCGGCGAGATCGTCGGCGTCGTCGGCGTTGGTGGACGCCTGGCCGGCAGTTGCAAGCTCCGGGTGAAAGGCGAGCATCTCGTTGTAGATGTGTGCGCGGATGGTGTTGATGTCGACGGGCTCCGACTCAAAGTCAAAGTCTAGGAACGGCGGAGCGGCCGGCTCGTTGGTTGGCTCGTGCAGGTCAGCAAAGTAAGGGTGCTCGAGTGCCTGCTCGGCAGTGAGCCGATCGCCCGGCTGTGTCGCCAGCAGCTTCTCCAGCAGGTCAATGGCCACTGGGCTGACGCCCGGGAACTCGACAGTAAAGTCCTTGCGCGGCCGGACGCCGTGCGAGCGAACGTATGCGCGCGCGTTGTCGTTGCGAATCTCGTCGATCTCCTCCGGCGATGGCGTGCCCAGAAAGGTGAGGATGAGCGAGAGCTGATGGACTTGATCGCGGCCTGGAAGCAGCGGGCGTCGCAGGATGAGCTCGGCAAAGATGCAGCCGACAGCCCAGATGTCGACGGCCTTGGTGTACTGGCCCGAGTCGTAGATAATTTCTGGTGCACGGTACCACCGCGTGGCCACATACTCGGTGAACCCGGCCTGGTTCATGTCGATCACGTTCGGTCGCGCAAGGCCGAGGTCGCAAATCTTCATATCGCAGTCGGCGTTGAGTACCAGGTTCGACGGCTTGATGTCGCGATGGATGACGCCTGCCGAGTGGATGTACTTGAGCCCGCGGAAGACCTGGTACAGAAAGTGTGTAAAGTGCTCCTCATTGAGCTCCTGCCCAGACTTGATGATCTGATGCAGGTCCGTGTCCATCAGCTCCATCACCATGTAGATGGTGGTAAAGGTCTCGGCCTCCTCAGGCGGAATTGTCATAATGTCCAAGATCCGGATCACGTTCTCGTGGTTCGACAGGTGCCGGAGCAGCTTCAGCTCACGCAGCACCCGCTTGGCGTCGATGGGATGCCCAAATACCTCAGCGATTCTCTTGATGGCCACCTCCTCGCCGGTCACCGTGTCCACCGCCGCGCACACTGTTCCATACGCGCCCTTGCCCAGCGCCTACACACACGCACGCACACACGCACACATCATGCAAGCAAACGCACACGCACACATACATACACACGCACACATGCAAGGCAAGCACCCAGGGGAATACGTGAGTGTGTACCATCGGTGATGAGGAGGTGCTGGGCAGAGACAACGCCTCCCCTCCCACACCCTCCCACACCCTCCCACACCACCACCACCACCACTGCCCCACACCTCCACCGCACACCTCCACCGACCCCCTTCCAATCTTCCACTCAATCCCCTCCCCCCGCTACCTGCCCCTTCCCCCCCCTCCCCCCTCCCCCCCCCCCCCCCCCCGGCCTCTCCTCTCCTCCCGAGCTTCCAATGGAACAGACAACGTCGGGATCACCACCTTGACCAACCCCCCCCCCCACCCCCACCCCCCCACCCCCACCCCCCCCCACGCCATACAGCACGTACGACAGGATGCTCAATGACGTATCTCTTGTCAATGACAAACTCGGTGCCTCCCACTAGAAAGCTGTGCTTGCCTATATCCATGGTGAAGCAGGACCCAAGTGAAGTGTGGCTCAAGATGCGATGTGCGTGGAGTAGGCAGAGCGCGGTCCTCCTCTCTGTCACTCGTAGGCACTGTTTCCGCCCCACGACTCTTCGCTAGGCTTGCAGTCATGCCGATCGGCGTAACGAGGCCTTTTCCCGCCTCTCCTGGTTTGGTAACAGCTTTGATGGAGTGCTTCGTGGCGGTGCGCTAGGGCGGTGGCGTATCAGTGCCGGCGACGGGCGAGCTGGGTCACCTTGGTCGAGAGCATGGACGAGACGCCGAGATACGGCGGGAGCCACTCGGGGAACTGCGAGGTAGCGATAGTGGCCTCTTTGGAGGCGCGGACGCCCCAGAGCTTGAAGAATGGAACTAGGTCGTGCTTGGCAACCTGCGAGAGCCGCACAATCCACTGGTCGCGGAGGAGTGCCGGCGGGTTGGCTGCAACGTCGGCGACCGAGAGCGGCGCCTTGGCGTACGAGTCAAAGACGCCAAAGAACAGCTCCCAGCCAAACTCGACAACAAGCTGGACGTACATGTGAGCGCCGGCAAGCGGATCCCGCTGCCACAGCGGCTCGAGGTCCGGATCATCAAAGCCGCGGAAGAGGAAGTCCATAACCGCAGCCTCGCGCGAGTTGAGCCGCGGATGCGAGAGCGGCGAGACACCGAGCATCGAGTCGAATACAAAGAGCGAGAAGAGGTTGACCGCCACGTCGGCCATTCCGTCAAAGGCAAGCACATTTGAGGCCTGAAAGTTGTACCCGAGGCACTTGAACAGCGCCCACGCGCCTTGGCTCTGCAGCTTGCGCACGTCCATGGCATCAAACATTAGCGACGGCAGCGAGCATGCAATCGGGTAGCCATTGTGAAGTGTTCCGCTTGCGAGCTGCACATCGCCCACGACTCGCTCCGGCCGCCGCCGCGACGGCGCGCCCCATGCCTGGGACGCAGCCGGGGCGCTGCTGCTCCCATCGCGCGCGCGCGAGCCAACCAGCGCGCCTTCGCGACCATGCCGCTGCGAGAGTACGTCCATGGTGTCGATGACCCTGTCCCAGAACGCAAGCACCGCTGATGGGTCCTCAACCTCGCGGAGGACGGCCGTTGGAAGAGTAAAAATGATGCGCGAGGAGGCCAGCTCGCCCCACGGCGCCGGCCGGTGCAGCTGCATCGCCCGCCACTCAGAGATCGACGTTGTGCCATGTTGGTAGTACGGCGCTAGGACGGTGCCCTCGAGGTCAAGGACCATTCGCGATGCTAGGTCGGCAGACCCTGCTGCCGGAGAACCACCCGCTTGCTCACGAATCTCGAGGTAAATAAGGCCACCGTACGGGTTGTGCAGCACAGTCTGCTCGCCGGCGAGGCCAATCGCGGCCGTGCAGCAAATCGACGGGTGGCGCCGCCACTCGGGTGCGTGAAAGAGGACGTCCGAATGTGCCCCGATCCGCAACAGCACTTGCGGAAGCTCGTCGACGGCAAGCGGTGAGTCGGGACCAAAAGTGCCTGAAGCCGAGGCTAGCGCGACCGCAACAAGGCCTCCGGGCGGCGCATAGAGGCCGGTCGAGTACCATCCGGGCCCGTTGATGTGGATCTCCACCGCTCGCGGCTGCGGCTTGGCTGTGGGAGGCACCGGCCCGGGAAAGACCGGAGCAGACGCCGCCGCGGCAGGCACGCCACCGCTCTCGTTGCTCGCCTCATATGAGCCGACAAGAACTGCGAGCCGCTGCACAATGTCCTTCTTGTATACGGGCGCGTCCAGCGACGGCAGAATCCGCGGGACAGCCTCCCAAACCGCGGCGCAGAGCGCTGGTGGAAAGAGCGATGCCTCCAACGGGAGATACACTGCGTAATAGTCAATGACGTCAACGAGCACACTCGGTAGCTTGGCTCGAGAGCTCCGCTCCTCGAGCAAAAAGTTGAGCGCGTCGAGCGCAGCACCCACGTGTCCGTACTCGGGCGACGAGTGCGCGAGGGCAAGAAGTCGATTGCTCGGGCCTTCCCGCAGGTCGCCACTGGTGATGACCGGCTGATGGGTAAAGACAAAACCCATGGGCGTGGTAAAGTCGTTGGCAGGGTAGCGCGGCGTTTTGAACGCGTGGCGGGCGGCGGCGCTAGGAACCGGCCCGTGGGCAGCCTCGGCTGCGCCCTCGATCTTCTGGTCGTAGAGCAGGAGCACTGCGCCTCCGAGCTTCACGTACCGCTGTAAAGCGCAGAGGCCGCGCGGGTCGGCAAAACCCCGCCACCCGCCCAGCACCACCAACACTGTGGCGTCCTGCGGCGAGAGCGCCTCGAGCTCGCGAACCGCCAGATGCGGCGCCACAACAAGGTCCAGCAGTGGCCCCAATGCCGCGAGCGAGTCGATGTACCCGCGGGCGAGGCCAACGGCGCGGACAATAGGCATTGACGGGCACGGACCGGCCAGCCACCGCAGAACGTTGGCCACAAAGACCGGGCCATCGGCGCGCTCGTCGGTAAAGACTGTTGGATGAAGCATGTTGACGTGCCCTAGTGCGACTACTCGCCCGCGCTCTATGCTCGATGCTACTACTACAGGAGCCGGGACTTCGGTGCGCGGGCCAGCGGTAGCCGCCCGCCCAGCGACCACCACCGCAGCATTGGGCCCAAACACCGCAATCTGCGAGGTTGACCGTGGCAGCCGCAGCGCAGCCACCGCGCTTGTGATCTCCGCCCGCGCCTCGCTCACCAGCCCCGAGCTCGGCACCGCGCTGCCGACTGCGACCGCCTGGTCAGCAGCAGTCGGATTGAGCGCCGCGAGCGCCACACCGCCCGGCGTTGACGGTGTGCCGGGCGTGCCAGGCGTGCCAGGCGTCCGCGGCGTCAGCAGCGTGCCCGAAGTGCCCGAGCCCGAGTCACCACCTCTGGCCGAGCTCAGCCTGCGCCTGCTCGAACGGCCGTGGACCGCGGCCGCTGGCACCGAAAGCGGCGGCAGTGGAGCAATAGCACCACGCAAGCCAAGATTGCCGCTTCGCCCGTCGCCTGACTCAAGCTCAGGCCCAGGCCCGGGCGTCTTTCGCCGCCGCCGCCGCTTTCTCCGCCGGTACCGGCGGCGCCCACCCTCGACTTGCCCGCCAAGCCCAGTCACTGGGACCTCGCCGCCACCACGCCCACCGTCATTGTCCTGCCCAGCCTCGAGTCCACTACTGGTAGACCTGTCCGGCGGTCCCCGCTTTGTGCAACCTGCGCCCATGCCTCCGAGTATCCGGGAGAGGTGTAGTTGCTTACTATGGCTGAGACTGACTCGCTGTTGTCGGCACCGTCACGCATTGTAGTCGCCTCGCCCGGTCGACCGGCTGGCGCCGAATTCTCCGACAATGAAGGCGGCGTTGCCACTGCGGCGCTGCAGGGGGGGGGGGGGGGGGGGAGGGGATTTGTGCGGCAAGTGCATACGTCGGGCTTGAGGGAAAAGCAATCATGTGATGTAGAGTGGGATGGCACGCTACGGCGATGAAACAAAGAACGGACCGATCTCGGTCATGGGCACCCAGAAGCGGGCGCCCCACGAAGCCTCGTTGTGCGAGCCGCCCTGGGCAAGGAAAGAGAAGAGAGTCGAGTTGGTCTTCCATCCCAGAGCCTCAAAGTGAGAGCGAACCTGCTCAAAGCCATCGGTCTGCGAAGCAGGCTCGAGAGAGCCAACGTCGAGGTAGTAGACGTTGGGCGGCGATGGCGCCGAGTCATCGGTCATGATTTGCGAGCCGAACTGGAAGTTGTCCCACCAGAAAGACGACGACATGCAGCCGGCAATGCCATAGACGTGCGGGCGGGTCCACGCCGCGTAGCACGAGAGCAGGCCGCCGAGCGACGAGCCAAGGATCCCGGTGTGCTCCGGCGCAGGATGCGCCGGCACCCGGTAGTTCTTGGCGATGAGCGGAAAGATGATCTCCTCCACAAAGTCAAGATATGTGTCGGCCTTGCCGCCTCCACCGACAGACGGGTCGTACGATGGCGTGTACTCGTCGATTCGCGCCGCGGTGTTGTCGACGCCGACAAGGACGATCTCTGGAACGACGCCCTCGATGATGAGCGGGTTCATCGTCTTCTGGCAGTCCCAAGCAATGCCCGCAAACGATGTGGACGCGTTGAAGCTGCAAAGGGGAGAGTGGAGTGAGTCGGCGGCGGGGGGGGGGGGGGGGGGGGGGAGGGGAGGGGGAAGACGTAGGGCAGCGTACAGGTTCTGGCCGTCCTGCATGATCAGGAACGGATACGGACCCTTGTACGGGTTCTCGTTGTACGACGGAGGCAGCCAGGTGACGACGTTGCGCGAATTTTTCAGCTTGGGTGAGTAGATGTCGTAGAGGTAGACGTAGTGACCCTGGGCGGTGTAGAACCACGGGGTGTCGGTGACGTCGGACACGCCCGCAGGTGCAACCGCGTTGCCGCCGAGCTGCCACGTCTCATCGTTGACGAGCACCTTGTACTCGAGATCGCCATCGCTGGCAGAGCACTCGGCAGACGCCATCCACGTGTCCTTCCGGTCGCTTCCATCGCCACGCCCGTGCGCCAGTTGAGCCCGCATCCGCTTCCACGCAGGTACAGCCCCGCCCGTTCGGCAGGTTGACCGCAGGGTAGCGGACGGTGATGCTGAGGCCGGCAGCAGAGCCCACAGCCAGCACAACAGCCAGTACAGCCACAACAAGCCATGTCATTCGCATGGTTACCTCACCGCAAGCGAGAGAGAATTTGGCGAGACGCGAGTAGCGAGCAGCGAGCAGCGAGAGGTCGCGCGGCTGCCTGCACGCATCCACCTCGTCCGCCCCCAAGTGAGCTCTGCCACCAAGGCGGAAAACCTCACAAAGCCCAGCTCCCCCCCCCCTCCCCCCCTCCCCGTCACAATTTTTCTGTGTCGTCCCCCCTCCCCCCACCCCCCACCCTCCCCCACTTCCCGCCTCACTTGCCAGGGGGGGGGGGCAACTTTCAGAGCTCAGGGGGGGCGACTGGCTCGACGGAGGGGACGAGGCGCCAAAGGGCAACACTTCTCTCTCTCTCTCGTGCAAGTGCGTATGACAGACAACGTGACGCAGGAGAGCGGAGCGGCATTGGGCCATGCAGACGGGAGCCGGGCTGGAGAGGGAGGCGCAGCGGGCGAGGTGGGGCTGGCTAACACGGCTGGACTCGAGGGCGCCGACGAGGCTGAGGACGGGACGGTGGCGATGGAGGTTGTGGGAGGAGCGGGCAATGGGAGCACAAGTGGTGGGTCGGGCAAGGATGAAGTCCGTGAGCGCAATCTGGCGGCTGTGGATACGCTTGTGGACGCGGACGACGAGGGCGCGTGGCATGAGAACTGGGGCCAGCCGGTGCCCGGGCCGTACAACTTCAAGGAGCTCACCGAGAACAAGTTTGTCTCGCGGAAGAAGAAGTCGCGGCCCGCGTACGATGAGGCTTTCCAGTGCGAGTGCGATAATGAGGTGCAGTGTGGGCCCGGGTGTGAGAACTTTGACATGGCCATCGAGTGCATCGAGGGCTACTGCCACATGCGCGACCTCTGCCGCAACCAGCGGCTGCAGCGGAAGCAGACGGCAGACGTTGAAGTCTTCCAGACCAAGCTCAAAGGACTCGGTCTCCGGGCGTGCTCGAAGGTCTCGCAAGGCGATCTCATCATGGAGTACGTCGGCGACATCATCGACAAGCGCGAGTTCAACCGGAGAGTCAAGGCCTACGCTGACGAGAACATCACTCATTTCTATTTCATGTCCATCGGCAACGAGGAGATGATCGATGCTACCAAGGCCGGCAACATCTCGCGGTTTATCAACCATTCGTGTGCTCCGAATGCGCGGACCGAGATGTGGACCGTGGCCAACGAGCACCGCGTCGGCCTCTACGCCGTCAACGACATTTACCCTGGCGAGGAAATCACCTTTGACTACCAGTTTGAACGGTACGGCGCCCAGGCACAGCAGTGCTTTTGTGGCGAGGTTGCGTGCCGCGGCACCATTGGCGGCGAGCGCAAGGAGCTGGGTGCGTTTTTCTCGGCAAACGCTGCTTCGGCGTCCGACGACGACGACGACGACGTGGAGGCGAGCGGCGAGCGCAAGGCTTCCTCCCGAAAGTCGAGCTCCAAGGCTGAGATCAAGCGCATCATGGACGAGCGCCAGCGGCGGCTCATCTTTGACCTCTCCAACTCGGACTACACGCTCGAGCAGCGGCTTGCGGTCCTCTGCTCCAAGTCGGGTGGCCTGGGATCGACCAAGTACGTGAAGGACTTCAAGAAGCTGCTCCTCCAGGTTGACTCGGCGCACAACAAGGCGCTGCTGGCCAACGTCATGGCCAAGACGACGGCGAGTACGGTGCTCCGCGAGCTGGCCAAGGGCAACACCGTTTCGGCGCTTGTCCGCTGGCTGGCCTACACCGATGGCAAGGACAAGTGGGCTGAGTTCCAGCTTGCCGTCCTTACCGCCCTCCGCAAGCTCCCACTCTCGCTCGACCAGATGGCAAACAAGTCGCTCAACAGCCGACTGTCCAAGATGGTCGAGTACCCCACGGCTGACGTTGCCTCGGCCGCCCAGTCGCTTCTCGACCACTTTTCCAATGCCCAGTCGTCGCAGGTCTTTATTCCACGCAAAAAGATGCAGCCACCGCCGCTTGAGGCCGCAGCCGCTCCGACGGATCCGAACGCGCTCCTCCCAGCGCCTATGATGGTCCTCCCGGAGCCGATGGCGGTGGGCCCAGCGTCGGACGCGCCAGTGCGGAAGCCGGCTCAGGCGCGCCCGCCCAAGCGGCGGACGTCCGCTGCCGGCTCGGCTATGTTCTCATCACCGCCGCCGGAGGACAAGTCTGCTTCGTTCCGGGCCCCGCCGCCGCTGAACCCGCGGCCGCGTGACGGCGGGCGCGACTCGGGCCGCGACTACTCGCGTGACTCGGGCCGCGACTACTCGCGCGACTCGGGCCGCGACTACTCGCGCGACTATGTCCGAGGTGGCGGTCGTGAGTACTCGCGCGATGTGCAGGCGGCTCCGGCGTCGGCAGCCGTCCGAACTGGCTCTGCGGTCTCGATGAGCGTCGAAGGCATGGACCCGGCGACCAAGGAAACGTCCAAGCTCATCCAAGACACGGCATCGGAGCAGGCCAAGCGGCTGCTGCAGCAGTCAGAGGCCGAAGCGCGTCGCGAGACCAAGCGGCGGCGGGCCAAGGAGGCCGAAATGCGCAAGGCGAAGAAGCGGAAGCTGCTCTCCAAGTCGGGAGTGACGAGAGACATGAAGCCGTCGAGCAAGCTCGTTACGCTCCTCCGCGACGAGACACCGCTCGACCCGCTGCAGCCGCTGTTTAAGACCCGCGTCTCGGAGCTCATCAAGGAGGCGCTCCGTCCGTTCCACAAAGCTGGGCGGTTTGCGTCCAAGGACGACTTTGCGCACCTCGCCCGTAAGTTCTCGCACCAGATCCGCGAGAAGGAGGGCGACGCCCGCCGTAACAACGGCGCGTCGTACTCGGTCGTCACCGCCAAGCTCAATCGTCGCATTGTCAAGCACATCAAGGCATACTTTGACAGACATCCGGGTGTGTACTCTCGGAACAAGTAAGTGAATGTTTGTGGTTCGCGTCACAGCTTGGACGCCGAACTTGGCTCGACGCCGCTCTCGAGTGCGGCGCAAAGCCGCTCTTCGTCAAGCTTGACAAGCTCGACCGCAAAGCCGCGAGTCCGGGTTAGCACGTACGTGCCCGAAGAAGCCTCGCGGGTCTTGACACGGAAGCCGTCGGGGGTAAGCGCGCCGATGTGCGTCTCGGTCGGAACGACAAAGTCGTGCCGCAGCCCATCGCGGTCCTGGCCGTGGAACCGGATCGAGCCGCCCGAGCTGACAGCAATCGCGGTGATGGCCGAGCCGCGGTTGTCAGGCGCAGACATGTCCGAGTACGAAGTGTCGGCAATGACAAAGGTGATGCGTGCATCGCCGCCAGCAGGCACAACCATGACTGTCGGCGACTGGCCGTGCGGGGTGTGCCCGGTGATGACCCTCGTCACGCCCGACGCCGCCAAATACGCCAGAACGCGCGCCGATGGCGGCTTGGCCGCGCCGTTGTCGAGGAATGAGGCGTACATGACACCGCGCCCGCCCACCCACCGGGAACGCCATAGTCCATCAGCGAGTTGCCGCCGCGCCGAGTGCACGCCGGCGGATCCTCCCACTGCGGCGATGCATCCCACTGCGCCATTTGCTCGTTGTACCACGCGTTGAGGGCAGCCACCCACTCGGCAACGCCCAGCTCGGGTGGCGGCGCAGTGGCAAGCGTGTCGATGCCAGGCGCAGGCGACGGAAGGACTTGCGCGCCGTCAAGCGGCGGCACGTACCCGATGTTGGCGTCGTTGACCGCACCGTGGACAAAGAGCGTGCCATCCACCAGGGCGGCAATTTGGCCTTGAAGCAGGTACTTGTGCAACACACCGCCCTTGGCCGCCGCGCCCACATACGAGGCGTAAACTTGCGCGTCGGTGATAGACTCGGTCGATGCGGCGCCGGCCAGGATAGCAAGCTCCTCGCGGCGGCGATCAAAGGCACCCTCGGAGCCCATGGTGCAGTCGAGCATCCAGCGGAGCCGGGCCGACGGTGTGTCCTGGAAGCCCTTCTCGACCAGATAGTCCGGATACAGTTTGCGCTTGGCCTCCTCCACCCAGTAGAGAGTGAACATGTCGTCAGCCGGCGTGGGGTGGGCAAGCTCGGCCGAGAATCGCAGCTTGTTAACGTCGCGGTTGCCGACGAGGAGAAAGACCCGCTCCGGAAAGGCCTCCTTGAAGGCCAGCAGGCAAGCAATGACCCTCAGATCGCCGTTGCCCTTGTCGCACACATCGCCACCGTATACAAACACTGCGCCGTCTGCCTCAGCCTCTGGCGTAAAGACCAGGTTAGGGAGCGGGCCCGCAGCAGAGCCGAGCCGGGCCGGGTGGTCGGGCGCAGCGGTGGCGAAGCAGACCACCGTCGACTCTTCCACATATCGGCAAAAGTACTCGGCGTTGCCTTCCACATCGGTCACATACCCTATGGGTCGACCGCTGTCCATAGTTACAGAATGGGGTGGAGGAGTGGGGAGGGGGAGGAGGGGGGCGTTGGAAGGGTATCCAATGGAAGACAGGCTGTCGGCCCGACTCACCCGATGATGCTCTCCTTGGCGTGGAGATGGAGGCATGGTCTGAGTCTGCTTCACACCTCACCAGAGCCACGAGTGCTGGACGGGAGGGGATGTGCGTGGACTCTGGCGAGGGGCGTCGTCGTCTGTGTAGGCTGGCGTGCCGTCTGGAGCTGTGGATGGTGGCGGGCTCGGTGGTGGTGGTGGCTCTGCTGGCCGGCGTGGCTTTCTTTGACGATGCGCGCTGGTTGGTCGCCACCCAGATGGCGGCGCCGACGTGGGGCATCGGGAGTGTGGTGGCGGTCATCTACGACGCAAGTGCCGCTCACATGGCAGTGCTGGATCAGGTTCGATGCGAGCCGTGCTCGCGAGTCCTCGAGATCGGGCCGGGCACAGGCCGTGTGCTCCCGTATCTGGTGGCGAGGGCCGGTGGGCCCGGCTTCGCTCACGTGGCCGCCATCGAGCGTGCGCCAGCCATGTGTCGCGCACTTGGTGCATTGTACGGGTCTTGGATCGACGCAGGCACACTCTCTGTTGCCTGCAGGGACGTCCAGCTCACGCCAGTCCCGTTTGAAGCCCAAGCCGCCTTTGATCTGGTCACTTGGCATGGCCTTCTCGAGCACCTAGAAGATCCGATCGAAGTCCTGGAGAACATACATGCTCTCCTTGCGCCACACGCCCGCATTGTGTCATGTGGTGCTTCCGACGCTGCCCGCAGTACCGCCGTGTGGTGGGCCAAGTACCTGGCCCAGCCCCACATGGACGAAGCCGAGCACGTGGCGTGGTTTGAAGACGCTAGCTACGTGGTCGATGGCGTGCTGCGATCACCAGATGGCCTTGTCACTTGTGTTGTAGCCATGCCAGCATAGATGCGGTCGGCGTGCTGTGGACAGAGTGACCAGCGGCTTGGGTGGGAGTCGGCTGCGCACCGCTCACACTGCCACACTTGACCCATGAGCACCAAGGCCCGAGCCCAAGTGGCAGCCCAGCTGGCGGCTGCGTTGGACGCACCTGTGCTTCGGGAGGTCGGACAGAGCGTGTACGTTGGTGGGACTTGCGCCCCCATGGCTGGACAGGCGGTCGTCGGGAGCCGCCCATGGCGGGATCGTGAAGAATGGAAGGCCGAGGCGAGAGCAGGGAGAAGGGTGGGCAGGCGGTAGCTGCACTCACATGGCTATGGAGGTGTAGATATGTGGTACATGCGCGCTGGCTGCGGAGTGTGGGAAGGTACTATGGACTGCAAGATCATCCATTCTTTGCGCCGGTGATGCTGGGTGCTCCCGCGGATGAGGCTGTTGACGACGGCGTACCCGGGGTGGCCGAGACGGTGCCCGTGATCGATGAGGTGACAACGGCAATGACTGCCGGATCTGGGTTTGTAGCCATGCGCAAGGACGTTCGCGAAAAGGTCGACTTTGAGGTTATTCCTGAGGCGGCATGGCGAATGCTGCAAGAGGCGCACGGAGACGGGAGCGGTCCAGAGCTGTGCCGCAAGGTGGTGGCGCGCGGCAGCGGCAACCTCGGCGTCGAGCTCCACCCGCTTGTCCTGCATCTCATCAGTTACACAAGCCGGAACGGATTTGGTCCGCGGACTCTGGTGGTCCGGCCACGGGAGTGTGCAATGGCGGATCTTGTGGGCGACGTGCGGGCAGTGTTCGGATGGAGCAGCGAGACGCCGCTAGCAATGTGGCGGTCGGACGAGGCAGCGCCGACGTCCGAGACTGCGATGCAGAGAGCCGAGTACACACGGGTGGCGCTGAAGGCTGCGACGCTCGACGATGCAGAGCTTCTCGATGGCGCATTGGTGGTTGTGGTCTCCGGCCCACTGGCTGAGAGCGGACAGCCCCCGTGGCGGGCGGCGGGCACAGGAGCGACGGTGGAGGGCCGAGCCGGACTTGCGGGACTCCGCAACTTGGGCAACACGTGCTTTATGAACGCGACGCTCCAGGCACTGTCGAACACGCCGCAGCTTGTGGCGTACTTTGCAAGCGGGGCGTTCGTTCGCGATGTGAACGTGGAGAACAAGCTAGGGACCGGCGGAGCGCTTGCAGCGGCTTGGGCAGATCTGGTGCGCGAGCTGTGGCTGGGACCCAAAGCTTCTGTGGCACCGAGCAAGTTCAAACGGGTGCTGGGGCAACTGGCGCCGCAGTTCTCGGACTTTAAGCAGCAGGACGCCCACGAACTGTTCTCATTTGTGCTCGATGGTCTCCACGAGGACGTCAACCTGGTGACTGACAAGCCGGTGACCGAGAAGCTCGAGCTAGAAGATGGGCAGGACGAGGCATGGCTGGCGGGTGAGTCGTGGGCGACGCATCTGCAGCGAAACAAGTCGGCGGTTGTTGACCTCTTCCATTTTCAGCTCAAGTCGACGGTGGTGTGCCCTCAGTGCGAGCGGGTGTCTGTGACGTTTGATCCGGCATGCGCGCTCTCTGTCCCGCTGCCGAGCTCGGGTAAGGCACGGATTGGACTGACCATGGTGTTTGCCAGTGCTACAAGTCCGCCGCTGAAGGCGTGCCTCGAGCTGGACGCCGAGTGCAACGTCGGGCACCTGAGGCACCAGTTGGCTTGCCTCACTGGAGTTCCCTCGGGCCAGATTGTGATTGGAGCAGTGGATGACAGCCGACTTGGCAGCACGTTTGGAAACAAGAAGGCGCTATCCAAGGTGCCGCGTGCTGGCGGTGACGGGCCGTCGGTTGTGGCGTGGGAGCTTGCGCCGGGCTCGTCGCGCGCGCTGTATGTGCTGTTCCGCCGGCGGGATACCCGCGTTTGCGGCGGGTGCTCCGCGCCAGCGACTCGGCTGCGGTGCAAGCAGTGCAAGGTGCAGTACTACTGCTCGCGCGAGCACCAGGTTGCCGACTGGAAGTACCACAAGAAGCGGTGCGGCGTGGCGAGTACGCCGCCGCGGGCACGCATGGTGATCTTTGGCACACCACTGGTGATTGGCCACGATCTGGCAGCGCCGCAGCTGACCGGTCGGGCGCTGTATGCCACCATTGAGGCAGCCATTGCCGGGCGCGTGAGTAAGGCCTGGGCCAATGGGCCGTCCTCGCCGCCGCCGTATTTGCTACGGCTCTGCGATGCTGATGGCATCTCGTGTGCTGTCTGTGAGCCGGAAGCGCGCTGCCGCGGCTGCGCTGTGGCGTGGGACGCAGACGAGCCTGTGGCTGTGCCCAAGCGGGCGAGGGTGGTGGTGGACTTTGGCGGCGACGACGGCGGCAGCAGCGTGTTGCTGGGCGCGGCAGCGCCTGCTGTTGAGATCGACGAGTCTGCGGCGCGCGGGACGGGCATCACGCTCGGTGAGTGCGTGGCGCAGTTTGAGGCGTCGGAAGTGCTCGATGAGCACAACGAGTGGTACTGCAGCGTGTGCGCTCAGCACCAACAGGCGACACTGCAGATGAAGATGTGGTCGGCGCCGCGGGTTCTCGTTGTGCATCTCAAGAGGTTCCGCCGGCGCGGCTGGACCGGGTTCTTTGGCACCAAGGTGACCGATGCAGTCGACTTTGACGAGACGCTTGATCTCCGCCCGTTTGTGGCCGGCGATGTCGATCCTGGCACGGGTGAGCCGTTTCCAGCCAGCATGCCGTACGTGCTGTACGCGGTGGTCAACCACATGGGCAACATGTACTCGGGCCACTACACGGCGTATGCGCGATCGCCGCGGGCGAACCTGAGCCAGGTGCTCGCCGAGCGCGACGCCGACGCGACGGCGGCGCGCATCGGCGAGGTGGCGAGCGACCCGTGCCATGAGCAGTGGTGGCTCTACAATGACTCGACGGTGAGCAGGGTCTCTGCGGCGCGGGTGCTCAGCGACCGGAGCCACGCGTACATGTTGTTTTATATGCGGGCGTGGTGAGTCTAGAGTTACGATCAGGCCATGCGGTACATGCTATGTTTCGCCGCAATCAAGCCATGCGGGCAATGGGTGCGTCGGCAACGTTGGCTACAACGCCCTGGACGTGGGCCACGAGCTCTTTGGTAATGGTCTCGGACTCGCGGGCGGCGTCGCAGCGAAACCATGTCTCGGGATCGGCAGCGGCCATGTCCTCGAAAATGCCACGGACAATCCGCTGGAACTCCTCCTTCTCATAGCGCTCGCCGCCGTAGCCACCGCGCTTGGCAGCATCCTCGATGGAGAGGTCCATGTAGATGATAGAGTCCGGCTTTGGCAGGCCGATCTCTGGCGCAGCGCACCACTCGAGGGAGTAGCCCTTGGCGGCGGTAAAGGCCATGCCCGAGTACGAGTAGCGGTCGACAATGAGGGTGGTACCGGCGGCAAGAGCCGCCTCGATGGCCGACGCAGCTTCCCAGCGGTTGGCAGCAAACAGAAGGTGCACCGCATGGTCGTCCAGCTCGGCAGCCTGCCGGAGGTAGGCGTCGAGCATGGAGCCGATGGCTGTCTCCCGCGCCGGGAACCGCATCTCGTCCACGGCCACGCCTGCCGCCCGCAACGCCGCCGTCACTGCCTTTGCCTGTGTCGACTTGCCACACCGGTCGATGCCCTCGAACAGGATGAAAGCGCCCCGAGCAGCCATTGTAGATTTGTAAAGGGAGGAGTGAGAGAGGGGTCGACCGGGGC